AAACTGCAATAGGCAATTTTTTAGCAGTGAATAGCTTTTTAAACTTGGGATAGATTAAAAACATTTGGTGTTCTGGTCTGACTACATCATAAAAAGCCGAGTTCCTTAGCATATTTCTGATAAGAATTTCTTTTCTTTTTTTTACACTTAAGCTGCCAATTTAATGAAGAAAAGTAATTTAAAATACAATAAGTTTAAATTTATGACAATTTTTCTTAGAAAGCATAACTATTTAAGCCCTACAAAAATTCAAAGGTAACTTTAGTAAACTTTTAAACATATTTACACATAATTATTTCACCAATCATGAAGTAATATAATTATTAAAAATATATTCAGCTCACTAATAAATATTTTAAAAAACTTGCCTGTTATCTTAAAATTGATCAAAAATATAAAAAGAATCAAAATAAAATCTTACGATACATGTTTGAAGAACTTTGAAACAAAATATAAATGAAATAAATGCTGATTTGGATCACATACCTGCCAACCTTTACTCTTATTGAAAATATTTTTTCCTAAGCGGTATTAAGTTGACAATTTAATTACAGTTGTAAGCAGAAATATTTTTTTCTTTTGCCAGAATCTAAATAAACCATCGTTTGATTATCATGCTTTTTTAACCTTAAAATTGATCAAAAATTTAAGGAGGATCAAATGTGCAATTCAAATCAGAAGTTCAATTATATATATCAGTAGTTTAAATCATTATAGTCAAATTTATTAACTTCAAATATAAAAAGAAAGAATAATCTTGCTACCACTTTAAATATCAAATAAAATCTTGCAAACTTTTTGCAAAAGTTGGCAGCTACAGCATCATTGTTGCTAGTTTTGCAAAAACTAAGGACAAATTTACTAACTCAAAATATGAAAAGAAAGAATAATTTTTCTACCACTTTTAACATCAAAAATAAAATCTTACAAAAAATTTGCAAAAGTTGGCAGCAATGGGATCATTATTGTTAGTTTCGCAAAAATAAAGGATTCTGAACCGTTAAACGTTAACATGTTTCACAGGTTTACTCTATAATTTAATATTAAGGACGAATTTAAAAATAAAAAAATTAAGGTGCCTCCTCCCAGGTTAACCATGCCTTAATGTTATTAATTTAAATTTTTCACTTTTTATGAAAAAAAAGTAGGATGTGGGTGACAAATAGTTCAGAAAATCAATTGTATGGACTTTACTTTAAACCACTACAAAAGCTTTTTGTATTAAAAATATTATGTACTATACATATATTTATAAAGGATGATTAAAACTTTTTTCCTTCAAATAGGTATAGCATTGAAACCAGGATTGATAATTAATGCTACATCCATCTAAACTATTACAGCATTTATCTAGATCCCGTGTAATCTAAATATCAAGATAATTTTTTCATGATGAACTTTTTTGCAACGATAATTTTTTCATTTAAGATTTCTTCCTTGCTTTAACAGAAATAATTTTAACAAAGTCAAGAGACAGAATATTTTTAATCTGTTTTTTTTTTCTTTTCTTTTTCAATAAAATAATATTTTTTTTCAATAAAAATAAACAGCACTTATTTTAAATAATGTTTATAAATGGTTTCGCAAAAAATTAAATAATCATTGCACTTTTATTTATGTAATAATACATCAGCATCACCACGTCAATGTTTATTATATCAAATCTTGTCAAAAAGTGTTAAGCTGTACCAATTGAAATTAGTAATTAGTTAGTAAATATTGAACTCACAAAAAAGTTAATCATGCCTGATACTAATAGAAATGTAGATAAATAATAATTTCTTTTAGAGAAAATCAACATGTGTATTATTTTGAAAATAAATCTATTTGAAATTTCTATCAGCATTAAGTTTAAATAAATTTCCTTCAGTGAAAAAGTACATCAGTTACAATTTTTTGTCAATGCACCAAACAACTCCTACTTTTCCTTATATTTTTTTTAATCCAAACTTTTAAATCAGTTCTTTATATCTTTAACAAAGATATGAATTACTTTATAACAAGACATGAAATTGAAAATATAAATAGAAAGATAAATTAATACCTACTCTGATGTACAAAACTTGAAATATCCAGTTAAAGTTTTTCATATTTAAAGCTCACATCAAAAACAAGCGTTAACAAATTTAAATTTTATAGACATGATGCTTTTAAATTAAAAATTTACCATATGTACTTAAGGCCAATTATGCTCCACACTCATAAAAAAACGTATTTACAGAGAAAAAAAAATTGGGGAAGAATAGTGAGTCTGATATACAAGTCTAACATAGCAACATTCAAGTGCCAACAAATATAATTTTGGCAGAAAATATTTTAATGCAACTATTCCAAAAATTTTATATTTTGGTAAAAGTAGGAAAAATAAACTTTCCGTTTGTTGTAATAGGAGAATTAAAAATCAACTATTAAATACACAGAATCCTGATATTAAGGATTATTATTAACCCTTTGATGCAGATGAGACACAAGCGCCCATTTTATATAGTTTTTTCTGACACTTTAATTACAAGCAAAGATATATTTTGTTTTTTTTTTTTAATTATAAAAAAAGTCTAATAGTTACTAAAAAAATCTCTTAGATTATCGGAATTATATTTGTACTAAAATATAAAATCCCAAAAAAATACAGTTTGATTTTTTTTTTCATTCATATTCCAAAATGCATCAATTATTGATTTTGTAAATTAAAGGCATTTCAATGACAAATAACTGTTTCTCTTAGATATTAAGAACTGAATTAAGTATAAATTTAAAAAATTATTACTGTGTTTGGCAGATTTTACCTTTAACACAGCAAAAGATGCAGGTGTTTCATACTGTACTTAGTAACCAAAAATTATTAGAATGCTTAATATAATATTTTTCACTTATTTTGACTTATATTAATACAAAATGATTAAAGTATGAAAAATATGTTTAATAAAAATTCTGCATCAAAGGGTTAACTATTGATAATTTTAAAATTTATATAAAAAGCTAATAAGTTTTCAAATACATGCATTAGAACAACAAAACAATTAAAAGGAAATTTCATTTTCACATCTGTCATTGCAATTTTCGTGTTTGTTTGAATTTCTCATTGAGGAAAAAAATTACTTCTGTACTATAACTGCTTAAATAAATAACTTCTAATTCAAAAATTGTCAAACACAAAATAAAAATCCATAGATCCAAAGAAGTAAAAATTACCTTACTTACAGCAAAAAAAAAAAAAATCTGAATTCAATCAGAAGGAAAGAATAGATACACACAAGATTATAACAATGTGCATTAAATAGTTCATTTTGTATATTGTACTTACACAATACTTCAGCAACACTTTGTTTAAATCATTTTTTCTATATGATATATCTATATACATGTATCACAAATGTATTCTTGAAACGAAAATATTACATCAAAATTAAGCACATGTTACACATATTTGTATATATATGTATTTTAATTTACAAATATTTAATGCATATATTAAACACAAGAACATAGATCAGAGTATGATAATTTAAATATTTCCATATGTCACGCCACTTGATTTCTCAGTTCTAAAAATTCATAAATATCTACACTCACAACTCGACAAGAGAAAACAACACATAATCAACAAAAACTATTCTTGGAAAGTAAAGCTAATTTTGATAAAAATTTCAAACAATGACTTGTTTTGTTTGAATTTTACAAAACTAAAGAAAAAGCATAATGGAATGCAAACTTATGTGAAAAAAAAACTCTTTTAAAGTGCAAAAGAATGCTTGAACTCCTTGGAAATGGCACTTTTTTTTATGATATGTATGCAATCAATGGAAAATAATGACTTAGAACTCTTTGGACTTAGTGAATAAAAGTATGATATAAGTATATCTGTATAAAATAAAAATGGAACATAAAATATGATATCACATCTAAAATTAAAAAAAAATCTGAAGAGTTTGTATGGAAAGTGATGATTATAGGTACGGATGTTGATTATTTATGGTGGAATTATTAAACAGCAATTTGCAGAACATTAATCTCCGTACGGTCGATTTACCCCAAAACAAATTTTTTAGAAGTCAATCTATTTGATTTTTGTATTTCTTTGAAATGGTACAGAAGTTTATTTTTTTAAATTTTAGTCTTTTTGAAGAAGTTGCAATTAAAAGTTAAAATTACTGTGCGACTAATTCACTCAAATGAGAGGTTTTCAGAAACCAATTGTATTATTCAATCAGCAAAAATATATACATTTTTAAGAAAATTAAACATCATGAAATGCAAAGAAATTTAAACTTACAGAACTTTTCAAGTAAAACAATTATTGATTAATATACATTATCTAAAGGAATGAATTATCTCCATTAAGAACAGTTTACTTATACAACATAAATTATTTATTGTAATTTCTTTTTTGTACAATGTAAAAGTATAATTTATAATATAACTTTATTTTTATTTAAAGTCATAATTATAAAATTTTAAATTATATGATATTGGCTAAAACTTTAGTACCATTCAGTTTAATAACTGAAAAAAGAACACTAATTTCCTTTAAACGCTATTTTTTTAAAGTTAATTTTTAAGCTGAAGTCATTTGATTTCGTGATAGTAGAGAGTCGTAGCTGTATTTCTTTTTCGGGTCATACGTCAATAATTTAAATTAACTTCCAATGTTTTTGTGCATTTTTTAAGCACAATTATAATTAAAATATGCATCTAGATTGACTTACATATTTCAGAGCTATTTTCTCGTAAGAATACAATTGATGTTTATTCTTACTTTATTGGTTAAAACTATTGACAATTAGCAAAGAAATATTGTTGACATTCATTTCTCAATGTGATAAAAACACAATAAACCTTAAACGATGAGAACATTGTTCTCCATGCATAATTATTATTATTATTTTTTTAATCTTACCTTACTAAGTTTCAAAATATTATTATAAGAATCACTTTAATATACTAATAAAACACCTTAAAAATGAAAAAGATTTAAAAAAAATAAATAAATAACTGCAACATCCGCACCTTAATGATAACTAAAGCATGAATTTTTGTTATCGTATGACTCGTAAATGTAATGTTCTACTGGTAACAAAATAAACACTAATCATGCACCTCACATAAGCTAAAATAAATAAGAGCCCTAATAACTCAGAAAATCAAATAAAAATAAAGCTACAAAATCAGTTTAACAAGCATAATTATCTAAATTATTTCAAAATCACTGGTATTTTTTCCCCTAAAAGTAATAATTAAGAGTAAAAATGCAATAATAGGTATTATTATTGATCTGTGCTTTTACCAAAATTTACCCTACTAATGAGTTAAGTATAATACCAAAAATATTTAGGGTTTTAATACAAACTAATTCTGAATTAATTATTTGTTCATTTGTGTAAACTTTTAAAAAGTTTTTAATAAATAAAAAAAGAATAACAAAAACACAATATGCTACAGAATTCATGTGCTTTCATTACTAAGGATGCTTAAAATAAAATAGCACTCAAACATAACATATAAAAATGACTACACATAATTAAAAAACATATTTCAGTTTAGTAGTAAATATTTTAAACTCAACTAAATACTCTACTTACACAAATACAATTTTTGTACATATCAATTTTAATAGAATAAATTTAAATTACGCGTATCGCATGCCTTTAAGTGAAATGACAATAAATGCAAAGCTCATTATTTTGGATAAAAAAGAAAAACAAAAAAGAAATGATAACATTTAAAGTTTAAGTTGTTTGAAAATTGTTTCTGATTTGAATTGACATGACAGCAAGGTTTTACAAAAACCTTTAGGCATTAAAGAAATTCTCTTTCACGGTAGAAAGTTGGGGGTCATACAGTTTTTAACTTTTTGTTGTGTTGTTGAACGCTTTCACCGTTTCCGGTCGTGTCGGCTACGGAGCTCAAAAATCGCACTTGAGGTTGACCGATAAGACTAGCTTGAAGAGTGGTATTATTTTCCTTCAGTCCATTAGTCATAGTAGTGTTGCTATAGATATCCTGAGAAATGCTACAGTTAGATTCTGTGAGAGTCCCATTTTCCATGAGTTTGCTTGTGCTGCAACCAGATAAATTCTTTGAGTTTAAAACAAAATCTGTGCTCAAAGAATTAGTTTTTGCTCCTTTCCCAATGAACTGAAAAATTATAAAGAATTTCAGGAGAAAATATTTTAAGCAAATTTATTCAATAAATTTGCTTAAAAGAATATAAAATTATTAAATTCAGATACATATTGGAGGAGCGCATATTTGTGAAAATTTTAGAATAAGTTAATGTAAAATATGAAGGAAACGTAAAACTATTTACATTTGGCTAAGATAAAAGAAAAGATGGCTATTTTTTTTTACCTTTTAAAGGCAACAGTTATTTTGCATTTAATTTTATAAGCTAATTATTTTTTTTTTCATTAGAAACAAGTGAGATTTGATAGTGAGCATTGTTGTAATATGCTACTTTTCACTCTTCCTGCAACAGAAATTCATCAACTTAGGTATTCTCTGCCAGGCCAAAAATATCTATAGCAATTCTGTGTGGCCAAAAATGGCCCATATACCTAAAATTCCAATTTAGCTCCTTGATTAGATACTCTTTTACAATAATAAACAATTCTGATATGTCTGTGACGAAATAATTTTCAAAAAATAGAAAAAGAAAGAAATATTATTTTTCTAATTCTTACAGAGAATTTGTTACTTTATTGTTTTTTTCTCCTGTTTATTAAAAAAAATGCTAATATCCTCTCTCATTTTGGTTTCAAATTCATTTTTTGGCCTGTTAATGAAACTAAATTTAAGTCTCTTGAAGGGATTATTAGTTTGGATAATCGCTGAGGCATTTACCATATTCCTTGTCAGTGCGACCTTGGAAACATCAAAGAAACTTGACACACTTTAAAATTTTGACTTAAGAAACACGACAGATATGTCTGTTATACAGAATTTGAAAACTCAACAATCAACATCATTGTTGGAATCTTGGGCACAAACTCAATTTTAATAATGCCAGAATTATTACCTCTCTAGTCATATCTTGATACACAGGAATCATATTTTATTCATATGAATGCAGATTCCCTTGTTAATGACATTAAGCCCCTAGCCATTTCTCCATAGTGAGTGGCAATGCATTTTACCCTAATTTGCTTCTCTCAGTCACGGTAATTATTCTTGTTTTGTTTTTTATCTTTCTCTCTTGGTTACTATGGTTTTTCCAGTTCTAGTTTGCACCTTTATGTTTGCATTTTTCAGTGGCAACTTTACATTTTATAGGTTTTGAAAATGAGTGCCTTTTTACGAGCACTCGATACATGTCGACCGTAATTTTAATTTGTATGTTTTTGAGGAGGATGAAGTTTTTTAACAAGTAATATCATTAGATTTGATTTAACAGTTGCATGCAAAAAATTCTTTTAACGTGCAAAAAGTATTAAATTGTTGTAAAAAACATGCAAAATATGTCTTACCTCTCCCATAACAGCTATAGGAGTTTCATTAATAGCTTTAGCAACTCTATGTTCAATAAGATAGAACATATACTCATCGTATAAAAGCCGTATTAAGTGAAAAGAGCCAAAACTTGCTGCACTTCTTAATGTCAAATCCCTGATTACCATAGAACTGGAAAAAATTAATGCATTGTTTTTTTATAAGTTAATATTTAAACAATAATTCAAACTTTAAAAATGTACTAAAAAGTATAAAATTCTGAAGGGAACAATCATTGCAAATAATAAACCGGAGATACCAACTTTACAAACTAGCTATCCATAATCAAAATTACAATAAAATTCATAAAAATTCAAATTAGTGCAATTTTAATGTGTTCTTACTATTTATTCTATATGGGAATATACCTAATATTAACACTTTACAAACAGGAAGTATTTCAATTTAACTTCCCACCAGGTATAATTATAATGATTAATTATAATATTTAATTACAAATTAATAAATTGCATATAAAACATTAAGTGTGCTAAAATTAATAATTTGATTAGTACCACTATATGTACAGCACTGGACCCAGTATGCAAAATGCCAAGCTGCTTATATTGCGGCATTGGTCCATTAAGGGTCAATAATATTAAGCATGAATTGTCGAATAAATAAAAAAGTTATAACTAAATATTACTTTTTTCAAATATTTGCTGCAAAAAATCTTTTATAATTCTTGGGAACTAAGGAAAACTTTTTTTTAACAAATTATTTAAAAAATTCTCAAAATCTGCAATTTTTATTGCTCAACTGTTAGATTATAATCTTGACTACAAAATCATAATAATTGCAGATAAATCATTATATTGTACCACTGGATAAACATGGTAAATAAGTCATATGAGTAGACCAAAACATAAACAGGAAAACAAAATATACATGGGTACTATATTTACTCATGAAAAAGACTCTTAAAATAGAAATAATAGTATATAAGCAAAACAATATATACAGAATCATATTGCTCCAGTAATAGTGGTTTTATTTTTACCTTTTCCATGTTAGCACTTTCAGTTTTGGGGAATTAAAAGACATTTGTCAAATAGAATAGACAAAAATGGTTTTGTTGTTTAGTAGTACACAATCTAAAATTTTAACCAAAAATTATGTTAATTATCTCACTGGCACTCTTGAAGGATAGCAAAAGAAATAAGCAATTTTCTATAAAAATCAAACTATGCACTTATTTGCTATCATCGTTACATGAGTAATCAAAATGCTTGTTTGTAAGCCAAGATTAAATAAACTTGTAGTATTTAAAACATTTGAATGTCTTAAAATTGAAATGCTATTTGGACAAATAAGCATATTTATGCCTAAAATAACCTGTGATAGTTAAATATAGTTTTTTTTAATATGTAAATACTACTACTGCTGTTTGGCACTAAGATGTGATTTAATATATTTTTTGTTTCCTATATCAAGGAGTCGGCCGCAAAGGCCATTGATTTCATGAGTGATTACTTCAGAACTTAAATTTTGTTTTTAGGAGCAGAGCTTTAATCTGGTAATTAACTCACACACCCCCTCACTCCTATTGCTTTTGGAATTAAAAAGATCATTTTGTAACAATGATGTTTCCATGACAGTGCATGCTAAAACAAAAGTTAACCATGTTTTTTCAATGATGCTTACAAACAATTTAACATAGATAAATGAAAATATTGCAAAATTATAAAAAAAATGTTAGGGAATAAAAAACAAACATTGTGAACAGCAAACTATTAAAAAGGTATCAAGGAAAGTTTTATCTGTAGCAATGTTATTTATCAATGGACTTCTGTATCAGCTCAAAGAAAAAAAATCATGGTCAGTTCTTGAATTACTAGAACACATTCATACTTACAGACTATGACTTCTATATAAGGAGATAAAGATTTTCAAGTATAACGAATTCTAAAATGTTACAAATTAGATTAAATTATTTATGCCAAAAAAAAAAATTAGTATGAAGAAAAAGGTTTTTTTCTTCAACAAACACTAATATTAATGCAATTCTTTTCATTCTTAATTTTTTTTATAAACAAGATGAAATAATTTTCTTTTAAGGCAAGATTAATTAGTAGCTTCTAAGTTATACCAAATTAAGAAGTCAACAAAACTGTTATGCTCAAGTTTATACATAAAACATTTACTAAATACATACTAAATATAAAACATGCATGTTGATATTTAGTATAACAAATGCATCACTGTCAGAGGTTTTAAATACTTTATCGCATTTTTGGATATTTTTTTCTTCTTTATGTTAAAATTTATACAAAAAACAAGAATCAGAAAGAAAAGATTATAAATGAATACAAAAAGTTATTGATCACAATAAAACAAAAACTTACCTATAAAAAGACCATTTCAATAGAAATTGTCGAGCTGCTTTGGGGAAATCTGTTTTGCCTTCATAAGGCTGCAAGACTATATCTACTACTCCTTCTAACCATTGAGCCCACTGTTCAAGAGAATTCTGTTGTTGCAAAGTCAGTTTGAAATCTTGTTCTAAACGCTGAACAGTAGTTTCTTCGCACTGACAAACCCAGGAGGCTTGTTCCTGTCAGCAAGATAAAAAAAAGTTTATAATGAATTGTTCATGTTTCCATTTAGAATTTAAACTCTAGAGCTATGTTGCTAGTTAATTTACAATAACTAACACTTATTCTTATTAACTAAGTATAATAGCAATAGAATAAATAATTTGCTAAACACTAGGGACCGGAATTATTAAAAAAATTAATTTAGAAACTTGTAGGAAAGCTTTCGACTGAACAATAAATAGTTATTTGCTATTTTTAGGCTTTAAAATTGCTATGTACCCTTAACTTGATAGCCTTAAGCTAATAAATTTAAATACTACTGAAAAAATGTCATTATGATTCACAATAACAAGATAGTTGGGGGTTGCAAACTAAAAATGATTCAATTTCTTAATTATTTAAATGCATAAACCATATCTTTTATTACTTTATATAATTTTTAATTAAAAATTTCTCTAATTTGAGAAAAGAATCCTGTAATGTTCATTCTTTTGACAATCAATATTCCTATCATTGTTTATAAAATCATCCCCATCCAGTCAAGCATATCAAATTTAATTCAAAAATGGGATCATCAGAATTTATGTCATGTAAGATAACTGCAAGGATAATGCTTTCTGGAGTATAAATTCTAAAGCCTATTTAATTGAGAAAATTTAAAATGGTTCAGCATTTTTTTCTTCAGATAGTAATTATCCACAAAGAAGCTTTTGGACATTAATTTTAATGTTTTCCAAATTTGGCCCATCTAAGCTTGTAATATAGTGTTTTAAAATTAGTTACCCATAAAACACTTTGAAATTTTTAATAATAGCTAGATCAAGAGGTTGGAAAACAGATTTATTACATTTGGAGGAAAGAATGCAATTTTTACTTTCTTTAGATTAATTTCAGGGTGAGATGTTGCGTTATCATGAAAAAGAAGAACTTTCCTTTTTGTGTGACCTATTTTTCTATCAAGTTCAAGCAACCGTTCAGTCATTAAATCCTAGGTCAACCATGTTTGGAGTTTTACTTTTCATTGCATTGCAAGCCTCAATAAATTCATTCCTTCAAAATTCCTGGGTATAGCTGCTTTTCCTATAGTAAATGAAGGCTCTTGTTGTCCTGTCATACGTGTGCAAAGTAAAATCATCAATCTTTTTTTTTGTTGATATTTTTTAACCTTTACACTTTCCAACTTTAAACATAGTTTATTCCAGTAATGCCCGATAAATCATAAACTGACTTATAATAAATTGTATGCCTCTTTTGAAGCTTTTCTATAATTCATTAAAAGCTTCAAAATCCTTTATTCAGCTATTTTTCAACTGCCACTCTAGCCTTTTCATGTAACATTGGTCATGATACTGGATATTTGTTACTTCCAACTGTAAAAAACCATTCTAAAACACACATGTCACTTTAAAATCCATGATCCATGACTCGGCAGATGTGCCATGCATTTAGATTCGATAATTATTTCAATTTTAGCATCATAGTTTAATAAGTTTGTCTCAGTTTTTAATAATATCTACATTCTGAGTCTTTCCAATTTCAAAGTGTCAGTGCAATTTTTGGGCAATGCATTTTTGACGTTTGGAATACTTTAAAACTTAAGTTAAAGCTTTATGAGGCATTATTGAATGAGAGGAGATTCACTCAAGAATAAGGATCGTTTAAAGTTATCTCAAATACTCTTTCAAAATAATTTGAAACCTACTACAGGGAAATAAAAAAAAATTTCATATTTAAACAGTATCCTAATAAACACATGTATTCCTACTTCACTTCCCCAATTGGTTACAATCAATAGGGCTTATTTTCCTTAACACCCCCCATCACTGCATAGGAAAACTGGCAGTACCTCCATAAAAGTAAACATCCTCTGATTCATAGAAGAAAAGAACATGGCAACACCTACCTGTAAGACACCAAGTCTTATGGAGTTGCTATACTCACAATTGATCATTTAAAAATCTGAATAAATGTTTGATTTACATAAACACCTCGATGAATAGATTTCTATTCCTTTTTAATCTAGCTGTGTTAAGTACAGGATCAAACTGATAAGAAGTAAAAAGTAATTTTTGGTGGGGAATTATTGTAAGATTTCCTTCAATTTCTGAGGTCCCAAATGAGGAGTTAAACTAAAACTAAGCTTGTTAAACCTGTAATGAAGGCACTAGCTTGGACGAAAAAAAAAACTTTTTAACGTATTGGACAACAAAAATCTCTTACTGAGATAAAACACATACAACAAATTATCCTGAATAAAATCTGTGAGTATATATTTCATATCAATCTACTCCCCAAGATCATCATTAAGTAATTAATGAGCACAATTTTATTTTCCCACCATAAAGAAAACTCTAATCAGAATTTAGTTACATGAATTTGATGCTTCAAAAGATTCACAAACTTTGCCTTAACCAAATTTAGAAGGTAAAATAAATTAAAAATATTCATTAAATGAAATATCAATAGAAAAAAATGTTTTTGTATGACGATTGAATAGTTAATTAAAATCAGCTTTTTAAAAAACTAGCCGTAGTACTGTTACAAATAAACTGCCCACACATAGATATAAATAAATAAAACAGTACAATACCTGAACATTGTGGAAATCCACTCTGTTAAGATCTGCCATCATCTGATTAATTTGAGATGAATTTTGTAGGACGGCTCTGGCAGCTTGGGCAAGGTGGTTCAATGATGTATATCGTCTCAGAGTCTGAGCAAAGGCACTTACAGCACTCATCTGGAAATGACAAAACATTCTCAGTTGCTAACTCATATAATCTATACATATAAAAAGACATGTCCTGACAGACTCTCAACATCAAATAGCCTATTATACTACTGAAGCTAGAAACATGATATTTAGACAATGGGTTCCTTTTATGACATCGGAATCCACTAAAAGATTTTTTGATATTCCTCATTCCAGGTTTCATTCATTTCATAGATTCATTTTGTTAGGTCGTCTTTATAGTTTAAGTAGTGTTAAATAATTATTTAGACTCATTTTATTAAGTAGTCTTAAGTCATACCGTAAAATACAGATAAAACGCCCAGACTAGAGAAATCGCCCCCTGTAGCCCCAAAGAAACACTGATTGCCAAACAGTATCAAAAATGCACCACATTCCTTACAACACAATTTAAAAGTTCTTATTTTAAGAATTTCTTTGTGAATTTGTTTCTAAAAAATAGTTTTCCTGATGTTTAAGGTAGAGGATTAATGTTATACTATAAATGACCAATGAGTGGGGGGAAATGGAAGAAGATTAATTAATAACAGTAACTGAATTGAAGATTGTAAACAAAAGTGCAAGTGTTTCTAAAGTCTGGTGGGAAGAGAGGGTGAAGCAATCCTATGCATTTTCTCTCTGCTGCATGTAGGTTAAGATTGCGTTGAATGGTATTTACGATTGAAGGCAAGAAAGGGAGAAATTTTAAGGTGGGGTGGGAGAATTGAATGTGAAAGATTGAGTAAAAGGGATATGATATATAGCCAAATAACATATATGGAGTAAAAGGGAACGATAGTTTCTGAGAATTGTTCTAGAGGGGCAAGAAAAATCTGAATACTTGGAGGAGACTAAAAATTTTGTGTGTTGCGTGGAGATAGGAGTCAGTTGTTATTGAGATTTGCAAAAAAATTTTATTGAGATTGTCCAAAATAAGTTCGTACACCAAAAATTCATGTTCTTCCTTCAAAAAATTGGAAGTCATCCGATGGCATACATAAACTTCCTGCATTTGTGATTTTATAAGAACCGACTGGATGCATCTGAAACGAAACACCCGGATGAAAAATTAAAAAGTCTGGACACAGATATAGTTTAAATTCCAGAAGGGTGCACAAGCCTTCTGCAGGCGACAGATATTTTGTGGGTGGAGCCCCTCCAAAGAGCATTAAGCAGAGAATGGGCACTCTTCATAAGGAATTTTTTTTAAAAAATATCCTTGCTGGGAACTTAAAAAAGCTGACTCGGCAAGATGTGATTGGTTTTGTGTCGGCCGCTTGCGAGAAAGTCTCTGAAAAGACAATCTTAAACTCATTTAAGTGTGGCGTTATTCCAACACATTTGATGGAAGCAACAATGGCTTTTCAACCACCATTAGCGCAAGCTAATGTCGGTGTCATGTCGTATTTTTCTAACATATTTTCTAACTTTTACAATGTCTTTTATCACTTAAACTTATTCTCTGTCATGCCTAATTGAAAACAAAAATCTATTTATAACTTTATAATTCTTAATTTCTTACTGCAAATATGTTTCAGTTGCATGGTTATAATAATTCCCACAGCGATCGCCAAGGTATTTTTAAACCCAATATTGATTATGCAGGGTTGGCTTTGTTTTGGCTATGTTATATTTTGATAATTCGTCAACATTGGATCTCTTACCCATGCTTCTCCTGTGTCCGTTGGAAACAATTGTATTCACTTTCAAATTTTGCGGCAACAAGCTGTTATAATAGTTTTAAAAAATATCACTTTTTAATAAGAATGCTAACTTGGACTCTCGATGTAGGAGTGTTTTTTTATTCATCCCTTTGGGGATATGCCTTTCTTTCTAATGTGGAAATGGCCATTATCCATCATAATATTCTTTATTAATAAAATCAAATATTATATAAAAGATGTTATTCATTTCCCTGGAGACAATGTATAACAATTAACCACTATGTGGCATTAACCACTATTGACGACACGGACGTATATAAGGGGGTGTCCATGGGGTCCGCCCCCCCCCCTAGCTTGAGTTTTTTTTAATATCCATATTTCCAAATATCGCATAGAACTTCTTATAATATACGTCTTGCATCTTACAAAAGCTGAAGAATCCCTGGCTTTGCACGCTTCATTCAGCGAAAGAAACGAAAGTTTCATCCAGATAGCACCCCATCCACTCTGTCCGTCTCCACCGGAGAGCAAAATGGAACGGCTCTCTCCCAAGGAAGGAAGAAAGAAGATGTGCTGGTGGTAATTTCGGCATTTTGCCTTGCGCAGACAGATTGAAAGCGGTTCAAAACGAAACTCTTTCCTCGTGTACTTATACTCTACATGTAGATAAGGATAATTGATATTGAAAAAATAAAAAGTATTCATAAATATGAAACGTACTACTCAACAATCTCTCTTGTTTTTTTTCTTCTAAAAACAAAAGACCCAACAAATGACAGTGGCATCAAGGAATTATAAAATCCGCAATCAACTTCTTCTGAAAATCTCCACTACGGGATGGTCAATTAAAGAAAATTGCCGATGAAAACAACTTTGAACATTCCACCCTTATCGGTCTTTGTGAAACACGTTGGACTGAAAAACATGTGGCTGTCGAAAGGTTCGCAGAAATGCTACCCGTTCCACGTGCAACGCTTTAAACACTTCAAAGCAGTGGTAGTTCAGACGTGGCCACACAAGCTTTTCAGCTGCAGGCAGCTGTGGACAATAGCCAATTTATAGTATCTTTGGTCATACTCAGAAAAGTATTTTCGTATACTGTAAATTTGATTAAGGTGATGCAGAAGGTGAATGTTGATTTAATCGCCACTTGCAGTTATGCGAAAACTGTCAGAACAACCGTAGAAAGCATTAGAAACGAGACACAATTCTCCATACTTTTCGAGGAAGCAAAGAGAATGAGCTCGAACGAAATAGTTGCCGCAAGAGCGTCTCAACGCAGCAATGCACCTGGAGAAACTGCCGAAATTTACTACCGGCGGCCGTTTATAGACCATGTGGTAACCGAACTAGATTCTCGTTTCAAACCACATGAAGACGCTATAGAAGGCATTCAACTGCTTCGACCCGAGAAAACTAAAACTGATGACAAAACAAAAGAAAGTCTGAAAAAAAAGTAGCAATAACCTTTATAGGCGAAAGTGAAGGAAACACATTTCTCAGTGAATATGACATATGGAGCAAACACTGGGAATCAATATCCGAAAAACCGGTCACTATTCTCGAAACTCTCGATCAGTGCGANAATGGCGCAGCTTTGGCAGAAACTGAGCTGAATGTCGCAAAATGGCGCAGTTATGCCGTTTTGTCTCAGTTTGTCGCAAATGGCGCAGGCGTAGCATCCCTGTATTTCCATTTTAGGTTTCATTCATTTCATAGATTCATTTTGTTAGGTCATCTTGGATAGTTTAAGAAGTGTTAAATAATTATTTAGATTCATTTTATTAAGTGGTCTTAGGTCATATCGTAAAATACCGATAAAACTCCCAGACTCGAGAAATCGCCCATCTGTAGCTTCTAACAAACACTGATTGCCAACCAGTATCAAAAAAGCACCACATTCCCTACAACACAATATAAAAATTCCTATTTTAAGAATTTCTTTCTAAAAAAATAGTTTTTCTGATGATTAGGGTAGAGGATTAATGTTATACCATAAATCACCAATGAGTGGGGGGGGAACGGAAGAAGATTAATCACTAACAGTAACTGAATTGAAGATTGTAAACAAAAGTGCAAGTGTTTGTAAAGTCTGGTGGGAAGAGAGGGGGAAGCAATCCTCTGCACACGTGGTCAACATTTTCTCTCTGCTGAATGTAAGTTAAGGTTGCGTTGAATGGAATGTACATTTGAAGGCATGAACGGGGGAAATTTTAAGGTGGGATGGGAGAATTGAATGTGAAAGATTGAGTAAAAGAGATAAACGGATATGATTTAATCCAAATAACATATATGGAGTAAAAGGGAATTATAGTTTCTGAGAATTGTTCTAAAGGGACAAGAAAAATCTGAATACTGGGTGGAGACTAAATATTTTGCGTGTTCGTGGAGATAAGAGTCAGTTGTTATTGAGAAATACAACAAATCGTTATTGAGATTTTCCTAAAATAAGTTCTTACACCAAAAAATTAAAGTTCTTTCAAAAAATCGAAAGTCATTCGATGGCATACATAAACTTCCTGCATTTGTGATTTTATAAGAATCGACTGGATGCATCTGAAACGAAACATCCGGACGAGAAATTAAAAAATCTGGACACAGATATAGTTTAAATTCCAGAAGGGTGCATAAGCTTTCTGCAGGCGACAGATATTTTGTGGATGGAACCCTTTAAAAATGCATTAGGCAGAGAATGGCCATTCTTCATAAGGATTTTTTTAAAAAAAAAAAGACCTTTGCTAGAAATTTAAAAAGGCCAACTCGGCAAGAAGTGATTGGTTTTGTGTCTGCCGCTTGGGAGGACGTCTCTGAAATGACAATCTTAAGCTCATTTAAGTGCGGAGGTATTTCCAACGCATTCGATGGAAGCAAGATGGGCTTTTTCACCCCAGATTACGGAAGTTAATATCAGATCTATAGACAATGATATTGATGACGAACTGAGTGAAGTGTTCATCAACCTTGTTTGGATGATATATTTTGTATAAATTTTTTTTATTCATATTTAATTATGCCCAATCAAATATAATTGATTTTTTTTAAACAATGCTTTGCATTTTCTACAGTACTGTTTATTCACCACCCTCTACATCACGTCGATTTTTGACAAAATTAGGGGCACTTTATTGGTATTTTACGGTTTAAATAGAGTTGAATAGTTAGTTTTACGTTCAGGATTTATTTAGAACAATTTTGTATTTTTATAGTAATAAAAACTTAGTTACGAAATAATTATCTAGATTTATTTTAAATTATACATACCTATTTCATAGGACTAAGTAAAATTACAGTTAATTATTAAAATTGAATTATTGAGATAATTAATATCAATTTCAATGTTCATTATCTCTAGAAACTACATTCTCATTGATATTTGAGAGTGTCAAGCTAAGAATGAAATTTCAGATAAATAAAACTGATTTTTAAAAGAACCTGATGTTAAAATATCAAATACTTTCATTACGTATTGGTTTTATAGGACTAAGTAAAATTCCAGTTAATAGTTAAAATGGAATTATTGAGCTTATTAATATTAGAGTCAATGTTGATTAACTCTAAAGATAGGAACTAAATTTTTAATGATATTTGAGTGATATCACCCATTACTGGTCAGAAGTTTTTAAAAAAAATCAGGAAAATAATTGGTATAATAATTGGTTTACTTGAAAACCCATAACAGGGAAACTTTTTATTTATTTATTTTTTAAAAAAAGTTTTGTTACTAGCTATATTTTAATATGTATAAATTGTCAAAGAATACTTTTATATTATTTCAGAAGATTCTATTATGAAAGTCACGTAAAATGCAATCAGAAACAAAATTTAAATTTTAACAATGGAATTTGCTTGATGCCGATAATTTAGTCTTTTATAGAGAAATAAAAAGTTTAATATACTGAGAATGATTTATAAAAATGAAATGATTTATTTCAAATGTTACATTAAATGATTTTCATAATATAAATTCTCTTTTGCTTATATATTTTTTCCTTCTTTTGAATGAATATTTTAAAAAGATTGAAGGAATTGCATTTATTTTACATTTTTAGTTATATAATAAGGATTTGAATTTCATCCATTGTTACCTTTAATGACCTATATATTGAATTATCAAAAAGTATGCCTTACCTTAACTTTAATCGCTTCTTCAGGGCATCCATTCATTGCTGCAATCAGCCATGCTTCTAAACACTTGGCAAAATTTCTAATAGCTTGTGTCAAAGAACCTATGAAGAAGAAATTAATTATAAATAAATAACATTTTTATAATTTATGAATGAAAATTCTTATTGCATGCAAACCAAAGCCTAAAATAAACTGAGTGATGAGTTAGAAAATTAAAAAGGTTAAAAGCATATAGTTTATGTCAACAAACAAACAGTTCCATATTATGTTTTAATTATATTTGTGCAGGTTCAATAATAAAGAATTTATTTGAAAAATGAGTATTACTCATGATGCTATGCTTTTTTTTTAGTACAATAAAAAACAAAGCATGTTTGAAGAACAGGAGAAAGTATTGATAACTGTTATAAAAGACAACTAATGAATCAACTAACTTTGAAGAAATGCGTAAGAGACCATGCCATCATATATGCATAGCTGTCAATATGGATAGAAAAAATACAGCAGATTTCATGAAATATAAATTTCAAGATAACTGTTTCATAATATACTAAATTATGATATGACATGTAACAACTAAAGATATGATTTAATGCAAGAAATAACCATAGTAAAAGATATGTAATTAATTTTAAGAAAAATAGTTTTCAACTTACGTCAGTAAGAGTAACCAAAATGAAATTTGAAAGGGGTAAAAACTAAGAATTACCCTCATAATATCATTATCAAGTCGTACAGAAAAGGTAATCGTAACAAAACTTATCCTTGATTACATAACTCTGGAAGTTTGGAGGAATGGGATTAACGAGGGCTATCAAATTATGTAACGGCACAATTTTATACATTCAAAACTATATGGTACTTAAGTACTTTTAAATACATGTTGACAAAATTTAATATATTTACTGTATACAAGAATTATAACTTACTGGGTATTGGGCGCAAGACATCTGGAATAAGTACATCGACTAGATTTTGATAAAACTGGTAATCAGACTTTCGCATAAACAGGAGAACAGGTTCAAATTTGCACAGCTGAAAAAATTTACTTTTGCCAAGTAGCTTTTCTTGATCCCTGCAAATAAACAAATAATTAAATAAAAAACACTGCTAGTTACAAAATATAGGAAGCAATTGTGCAACTTATTTACTTCAATTAGACATGAATTTAATAAAGAATAATAATCCGTCAATGTAAAAACTTATTATGATAAGCACTTAACATTGTTTTTGCTTAAACTATTTTAGTATCATTATTCTTGTAACGAGAGGGAAGAAGGAAAAAAAATTATAATTGCTTGTGATCTTACCCAATGATAATTTCAAAGGAAAAAAAGTGTGAATTTACACCTCTTTGAAATAAAAATGTCCAACTGGGTAAAAATCAGCAATTTCGACGAAATTTTTGAATCTTTTTTGTATCTTTATCTGAACTTTAGATAATTAACTTTCCAAAGGTCTTTAAACATTCCTTTTATTTTAACTCTTCTTCTTCTCATTGGCACGACAGCCCAGGATGGGCCTTGGCCTTCTCAACAAGCCTATGCCAAGACATTCTTCCCTTAGCCAAGGTTCTCCAGTTAACTATCTTTAAAATTTGTAGGTCCTTTTCAAGGCAGTCTAAAATCTTAGGTTTGGTCTTCCTCTTTTTCTTGTACCTGTTGGCCTGGCACCAATACTTTTTTGGTTGTCCTGCTATCCTCCATTCTTATAATGTGGCCTGCCCATTTAATCCTTTGAATTTTGATAAATTTAATGACATCAGGTTCTTTATATGCTTTGTAAAGTTTTTCTAAACCAGGTACCGTTTTTACTTATTCCACCAAAAATGCTTTGCAGTATTTCTCTCACAAAACTAGCTATCATATTTTCATCTCCACGGGTCATTGTCCAGGTCTCACATGCGTTTAACTCTAGAATTACTTTTTTAACAGCAGAAGCTTTTAACAGTTTCCAGAAAAATTTTATTAAGCAAACACTAAATATCTCATAATAGAAATCAAAGTATAGAATTTTAGTGTTCTCCCTAAGCATTTTTAGAAGGGTATAATTATATACACACTGTTTAAATAATTATTAATAATTAATGTAAATTATTTGTGTTTATAGGCTTAATTATGATTATTATTACAAATATTTACTTTGTTAGGAATATTCTCAACTCTCTTTTTTTAAGGGGGGGGGAGTATATTAATGATGTGATTTAAAAATTATTTTTCAAAAAAAAACTTTTTTTAAAAAATGCACATTTTATCATAATTTTCAGTTCAAATTCTAGAAAAAAACTTTTAAGTTGTTTATCAATCATTGGTTTCAGTTTACTGTTTTTCTTTTTTTGAAAAAAATGTATGCTTAGAGATTGTCTTTAAGCATGCCTTTAATTATTTTTTTTTAAACTACACATTTTTCTCTTGTTTTGATAATGTATAGTAATTACTTTTTGAAATATATACATAAAATATTTTAAGAAGGTTATTTAAAATATACTGAGGATCAAATTCAGTTATTACATAATATTGCACAATTTGATAACTTTTTTGGTGTTAAGTGATGCCCTTTCAAAATTAAAAGTGCCATTTTCAGTGAGGAACGCCCTGCCCTTTTTTATTCCTAAAGAGAACTTTTTATACTAGTGTTAAAATAACCAGTGTTAAACAACCAGTAAAAAATAACAAATACCAAAAGTAAATATTCTCAAGGTTTTTGTGGTAATTTAATGATAATTTAGAAATATTCCGCTGGTGGTGCTGAAACTTGTTGCGCGTCGTCAGACGCCTGAATGCTGTATTCATTCAACATCTCACGTTTCTTGTGTTTGCGCTGTCTATGTTTATAATAAAATCTATTCCAAAGAAACTGGTTCAAGGTAAGCCTATTTATTTCAAACATATTTAAAATTAGTTGATTATTAAAATATGAGATTAGTAAAGTAATATTTTACAGTTCTAAACATCATTGTCAAGAAACCTTAGAGTAGAATTTTTATTATCTCTAAATAAAAACACAGTAAATTCGTTGCTCTAGCTTAGATGCAACCTACAAAAGGCAGAATAATCAAACTTGAATTTAGTACTATAAAGAAACATATTGGGCGTCAATCTGTTAAACTGAATTAAAAAAAATTTAAAAAAGGTCACTCTTACCTTCGGTTTATACCACTGTTGTAGTTCCGCCAGAAAGACTGCCAAAGTGATTCCACTAATGCAAACTGTAGATTCACAACAGCATCCAAGAAATTCTATACAAAAAAAAAAGAAAATGTTAAATAATAAAAAAAAAGAAAATGTCAGTTTAGATATAAAATAACACTTAATCGAGTATTACTTCACAGTGTTCCCTATAGAGTAGCTTGAATGTCTCTATATTTTCAAGAGTGATACCATCTGGTAAGGAGTAATTGAGAGTATCAATCTCAATAAAGTTAGGAATAGCTGTAGAAGCATCACCGAGGTACTGTTGATGTTGGTGTTGAGGAACAGGAATGGGTTGAGTCGGTGGGTTATCAGTTTGACTCGCAACCCCATTGGAGTTAGATGCATTACTTTCGTCGTTGCTTTCGCTCTTAGCAGGTAAGTTTGACTTGAAACGACTGCAAGAAACACAATAAGAATCACTTTTCTTAAAATATAGAAAAGAAAGAAAACTTAGTTGTTGCTCTAAGGGACGAGTAAGTAAAGTATTTCACAAGTTCTCAGCATACACGAACCAAAACAATGATGTCACGAGTTGTTTTGTTCATTTTCCTAATCTATTTCCCTGTAAAAAAAACTAGGCAGTTTACCACAATGTGGGTAGACAGGCATCTCTCTGAGGTATACATAAAACAAGTATGAACCGAAATTTCTCAATTGTACAAATTGCTAGAAAAAAAAAACTAATCACCATATCTTCCCTAAAAACTTTATTGAATACGATGTGTTACAGATCCACAGGTATCGATTATTATATAGTGATTTGACAGGTCCAAATCCTATTGCAGTGGTCTTACAACAAAGAACTATTAATTTAGAATCCTGTTTTTATGCAATTAAAATAAGAAAAACTTTATTTCATTTGATAGGTGATTTTAATAAAGTTATTCAAGTATCAATAACATATATTGATGTTTTTCCAACTACTGGAATTATATGCTCACAATTTCAAGAAATCAATTAGAATCTTAACAGGGTTTGGACAACCTTGTAATGGATTATTATTTGCAAATGAAAAATACATAATTAAAACATTTGCAAAATTTCTAAACTTTATTACTTCATTTTTTTTCTTTCATACATTAATAATCTCAATTTAAATAATAATAAACACTACTAAATATTAACTTTAAATATAATAATAAACACAGGAATCTATAGATTTTAAAGTAAAATAATAATAAATAAATATAAAAAATATTAAATTGAGAAAACATCTTAATAACACCAATGAAATAATTCAAATCAAACTTTTTATTTATTTTTTAAATATTATATAGCCAAAGAAAATTTTTATATCTTTCATTTTTTTTTTTTTTTTTTAAACTTTAGCTCAGGGAAAGAGGTGAGAAACTATTTTTAATAATTCAAAGTTAATTCAGTTTTCAACAATAAAAAATTAATTACTTTAATAAAACTTAAACAGATTTAAAAATGTGCTTTTGAGAAAAACTTGGGAAATAACTTGAAGCTAGATGAATTCAAACATTAAGAGTGTTAGTTTCACTTTAAAATTCAGAAATATATTTAATGAAACCATAATTTTAGACAACACATTGAAACTTTTGAATTTTGGTGCCCATAATGGTATAGCAATAGTTTTATATATTTAAAATTTTAATTTGTAATATCAATGACACTTTTTTAATACCAACAAATTTTAATATCTTCTTTAGTGTGGGAAATATTTGCCAGAAAAATATATGGATCACCTACCTTTTGATTTGGCTCAGACTCTGTGTAGATCTTATCGCTGAGTTGTCATCAGAAATCTGGTTTAGAGGAGAATTTGGTTTAACTCTAATACCATAATAATGGTACTTTGAATTCCCTCTAAAAATGTTTTAAAATAATATTAGTAAAAGCAATTGTGAAAACAAACTTAAGACACAATAGAAAATTTTAAAATAACTACATTCATCACATTAATACGAAATTGGTAAGACCATCATAATTATTTCTTTTTAACTGGATTTCATTTTATCTAATGCATCATGAAAACAATTTATAACTTACTAACAATATATATATATATTACAATAATGTATGTAAATTTTACAATTATGTATCAAACAAGTGAAAATAAGCTAGCACATTTTAGCTAAATTGTTGATTTAATTAAAAATAACAAATTAAAAATATAATATTAACAATTTATGAATTTTATTTTGAGCTGAAAAAAACTAATTGAATTCTGTTTCTTCTTTTGATTTTCAAATTTATTTCCGAAAACTTTTCTTTCTTTTAAACATTTATGGCACAAGATGAGCTTTCTTGTGAATAAGAAAGATTTCTAAATGATACAACAGCATCAGCCATCAAAACAGTTGGCTGAAAAATTTCTTAGTTTTGATCCTCCTCATCTGAAGATTCATTTTTTTCTAAAATGTTTGCAACTGTCTTCCTTAGAAATAGCATCTGAAATAAGAAGATTTTCATAGACATTTACATAATTGTGAAAATCATTTTCATTCAGAAGTCCTCGTTTTTCAGATTCATGAAGCATGTCAAATGAAGACTCTGAATTTATAATGTCTGAAACAGTTAGTGATTATGTCTGCAGAGACATTTTTCCATGATTTTCTAAGGAAAATCCCAGCCTCCAAGAGGTTGATCAAAAATTCAATTTCACTATCATAACAGCTAATTATTTCGCAATTTCCTTTCCATAATTTATTTTCAAGCACACTATTATCCCCTTGGCATAAGATTGTATCTTTGTTATGGTGTTTGGTGGTAAAAAATATGCATTTTATCCAGAGATATTGCAGTGCACACTATAACCATCCAGCAACAAACACATGCTTATTATCTGTGCATACATCTATGATTTTAGTTTTCTTTCACGTTAAGCGATAATCAGCCGAAAAATTTCATTTTAAATGTGAAAAATGCAATACCAATTGATTATTGAATCAAGGGAGCAAACATGTGTTTCATGCAAAGCAAAGTTTCACAATAAGCGACATTGCGTTAATGAGATTCAACTAAATTTAATGAAAACTATAAAATAGAATGGAATTGAGTAAATAGTTATCCTTTAGTTATTATCTTTACAATATCAAATAATAAATACTAGAATAAAATAATCATAGACTTACCTAGTTCCTAACCTTCTAGTTCGAAGTCCTAAAAATACTGAGCGAATCAGTTTTCCAAATGATGCCGCGTTCACAGGATCCAACTTGTGTTCAGTACAGTGCTTTATATAGTGATTATATAATGTGCTTCGGGGTAAACTAACACCTTCGGCCGTTTCGTAATTATCTATCAGCCACTGAACCTGTAAAAACAGAATCGAGCACAGTCAGGTAATTGTAGTAAGTTTGTTTATGATGATGAATTTAATATGAACATACTTACATGTATAATGTCCATGTCTCGAACATTTTGATGCTGAGAATGGTGACTTGGTTGAGACTGAGTTTGACTTTGTTGATTTGCTAACTGCAACTGTGAAGTATCATGGGGGCTCTGTAGGGTTTGAATGACGCATCCATCATTTGTGAAAGGAGCAATAATTTCAGCCACTTTTCTTGGATCATCCTTTTATAATAAAGGTATGTAAATAAAATACAAAGCAAGTATTACAATGAATAAAAAATTATATCAAAATAGCTGAAAATAGAAACTTTAAATATAATGAAGTTTTAATAAATTGTACTTTTATACATACTTTTTAAATAATTGGAAGGAAAAAAAACAGAAAAAGTACATGCAGTCCTTGTGGAAAGAAAATGTTTGATAAAAATACTGATGGTGTTAAATTCAAATTTATTCAAACTTCAAAATTTATAAGTACTCAACAGATAGCAAAGTAAAACAACGTTTCGATAAAAAATTTTAGATGCAAAATTTTATTTTAAAACTATGTTAATGTGAATCTCGATGTGTAGTTTTTAAATTGTGTAAATATGAATTCCTATGTGAGATTTTTAAACCACATGAACATGAATTGTAATGTGTAATTCAATATCCTTCAAAACAAATACAATGATAAAAAAAAATTATCAGAAAATTTTAATTTTGGTATACAACGTATGTAAATTAGTTAACTCATAATTCATTTCATTTATTTAAAAAAAAATTACATCGGCAACAAAAAAAAGAAAAAAAATTATTTTGTGCATAACAGAATTTAATGACATACTGCATTTAAATTACAACTAGCATCTCAAATATACACATTCTTTTATTGATAATTTTTATGTTTCCATCTTAACTTTAAAAAAAAAAAAAAGAATATACTTAACTGGCCCACTTCACAATGGATTAAATAATAATTGCTTATTCATAGTTATACAACTTTAAGCAAAATAATTAAAACATCAATACATAAAAAACATTAAGTTTTAACATAAATTAATAAATAAAGCTGAGACTGACACGTTAACAACCTTGTTGTATATGACTGATAATATATTTGAAAGACATTAGAAATGGGACCACTTAATTCCATCTATCAATGTCTATCAATGTGCATATTTTTTTTTTATAGTTAACTACACCTACTTTTTTGTTACAAATGCAGTTAACTACAACTACCATTACTTTTTTTTAAAAATATAGTGACTACGAACTACTTTGGAATTGTAATTACTTCACTACTTTAAGGAGATAAATTTTGCCAGGGAATTAAATTTATACCCATGTTTAAAATGGTTTGAAATAATAAGTTGGCTCAGTATAAGGGAATAATTAAAAAATATTTATACATGTTTAGAGGAGTCAGTTATTCCGAAACATTTTTTTAAAAATTTGTTTATTTAACTTGAACTTTTTATGTCTTTCGACAATGAATATTTAATTCAAGAGATGAGAAAATATCAAATACTTGCAATTCAATTGTTTAATGCTTTTTTATTTCCTCTGAGAAGTTAAGTAATAAAAAAATTCAGTTCCCTTTCTTTGAAACAGGGTTGGAGTTTTTGCCGGCGAAAAGGTTTTTTTGCCAGGACAGTGGCAAAAACCTGGCAAAAACCAAATTATCTAAATTGCTGTTTAAATATTATTACAAAATACTTGAAACAAATTTAAATCAATCATAAGGAATAATAATTTTGATACATTACATGAAAAAATTATTTTTAACATATTAATAATTAATATAAAGGTAATAATTTTTAAAAGATAGAAAGTTTTTGATCTCCTTTCATTTTAGAATCCTTGAATAAATGCTTTTTTACAAATAAATAAATATTATTATTTGAATAATATTATCATTTATTATAAAAATTATTATTTGTAAAATAATTAACTACACATGTTGATAGATATTTTATGTTTTAAATTATAGTTATATTAATTTAAAATAAGTTCATTTCACTGGAAAAAAGAGAATAATCACAAATTTTCCAATCAATAATGTTTTAAACTACTAAAATGATATATTATTACATTATCATTTAATTATGGAATAATAATTTTGTTAATTTTTTTGTAATTATTTATATTTATAGTATATATTTCAATTTTAGGAATAATTTTGTATCAAAAATGTGTTTTTGTCCTCTCATCTTGGAAAATATAGGTTTTTGCCACTTTTTGCCACTTTGCTTGGCAAAAACCTGTTTTTGCCAGGACGGTTTTTACCGGTATTTACCATGGTTTTTTCCACCTGCGGCAAAATCTTGCCAACCCTGCTTTGAAATAACAATGTTTCACGAGTGTGCATTCGCATGTGAAAATGTGACCAAAGTGTTTAATTATCTGTCGTAATGGTAGGTTCAAATACTAGTTATATGTGATTTTAAATACAGGATTTCTATTAACTCTCAGCGACGGGATAATTTTTCAGTTTTTTCGGTACTCTACTGGGATTTCAGTACTCTACTTTACGATCAGTCCACTGCGGGACGTGACATTATTAGGATATTTTTTATCTAATTTATACTCAACTGAGTACCTTTATTTTGGTAAGATTTATACTTACAGACACCGGAGATATCCTGTTAGTCAATGTAACAGCAGCTGAGACAGGTGCCAAGTTATGGTGTCCATCAGCTTCAATAACTTGTCCTTGAACTTTATAGTTACCACTTTCATCCACGAGCTAATAACATAAAATTTTATATTCAGGTTTAACTTGTTATTTATTTCATTTAAATTTATTTATATTTACTAAATAATTACCCAGTTTGCCATATTGACATTACATATTGAATACACTGCATTAATTTGAAGGGAAAAAAAAGAAAATCATAATTTACAGCATTTTTTTCAGGGAAGAATCAAATTTCGTGGTAGCTCTTTTTCAAACATTACATGCAAATGAAAGAATGTACAAAAAACCTTTAAAAGTCATTCCAATCAATTGATCACAAACCTATTTACTAATTTAATAAAGTTACAAATTTAAACAATGGGGATGGCTAATGTAAAAGCTTCGTAAAGAGTCAACAAGTATAGCAGAGCCACTGATTCGACATGAACACCAACAAAAATAAGATTTAAAAACTTCTACATACCTGGGAATAGGTAACAGGTGTTCCATTTCCACCAGTATAATAACCTGCAGTCGCTGGTGTGTACATGGCGGATGCATCAGTCACGCTATACACTGAGTATCCAGCCCTGAAATAACAATTAAATTGAATTCATAAAAAAATCTAAATAAAAATTTTGAATAATTTTTTAAAAGAAATATGTATATTCATAAAACATACATTTGGCCATTGCTTCCAGCATAAATATTAGGTTCAGTAGTATCCACATACTGTACGTATGTGGGATGAACGGCTTGAGTTTGCAGGCCTTCTTGTTGATCGTGCTCAGACACTAAAAATACACAGGAATAAAAAATATCAATTAGAACATCTGATGCTGCTTTAGTTAAAAATACAATAGAAACTCCATTATCCAAACCTACTTATTCGCATACCTCTACTAACCAGTTAACCAAAATCAAATTTTTATTTTCTTCTTTTACATGTTTAGTGCTTTTTTCTCATTTCAATAATATGCTGCCATATTTCAATATTTTTAAAAATAAAATAAACATTTTAAAAAAAACTACTACATGACAGGATAAATAAGTCAGCTTTAAGTGAGTAAAAAATAAATGTTTAGTTAAGTTGTTGACAGATTTAGAACAGAAAGTTACCCTTTCAGTTATTTTATCTATACTTTCCTTACTTTTAGTGTAGTTAGGCTAAACCATCATTGCTGTTAAAGAGAAGCATATTATCTGTGTAAGAAAAAGATTATATTGTTGCGAAAAATCACCTATAGATTCATAATTAGTTTATATATAAAAAAAAAGGAATACTGCTTTCTGTGAAATAATGCAAGTGAATTCCAAAATAAAAATATATTAACTTTGATATAAATAAATTTATTAAATGCCCATATTAAAATTTGATACCAAATAGGTATACATTGATTTTCAGAGTTAGTTGGGAAAAAATATAATCAGAATATTTTTACCTAAACAGGATCGGTCCAAATTACTTTGGATAATCAAGGTTCTAGTGTATATGCCATTAAAAAATAACAGAAATAATAGAATAAGCTAAATCATGTTATTTGGAGATTTCTCCTAAACAAATACCTGCTACAGTTATAAACTGAGTTCCACCAGCAGCTTGAGTAGCCTGCACAGCAGCTTCAGCTGCTTCTTGTTGTGAAGTAATTGGAGGCGAATGTGTGGGCACAGCTGAGATGCTTGAAGAAACTGCAACACCTTGAATGGGATGTTGCTTTTGAGACGTTTGACTTCCTTGAGAAACTGAACCACCCAATGATGAGCTAGATACGGTCTGTGTATGTGTTGCCTAAAGGGGAAAATATTATATTGAACTATGACTTAAAAAGCAACCACTGATACTTCTCTTAATGGCAATGTAAAAAATCAACAAGTTAAAAATCAGATTTATTTAACAAAGAAATAAAGTATTTTGATATTATAGTATAGCCAAAGTTATTTGAAATTGTCAAATGTTCACAAAATTTTAGAGATTGAAACTATTCATATATTCTCCCTGTTGTCAAGAAATACAAAATTTTAAATACATAAAGCTTTTATCAAACCAATACTTATTTAAGACTCAGAGACCTAAACTTTAACAAAAGCTGAAGAAAATAAAATAGCTTTTTTTCAAGTGGAAAGTTCCAGCAGTTGAGATATTTAGAATGAACACAGATTCCACAATAAAAATTTTCTTCTTCATAAACCATAATAAACAGAAAAAGATCCAGATTGAGATAAAACTGTGAAGATACAACTTTCTTGCTATCCGAGAAAGGAGCTGATGTACAAGTACAAAAATAGAAACTGGTGGAAGTCAGATGAAGGTATTGGTCCATCCTGCTTTGATGTTCTTAAAATTACGAGTGACTACCATTAAGGCTAAATTTAAGACACATCTTTGAAAGAATAAGGATTCTGTAAAAGAAAAGATTTGGGGTCCCTTTACAATACCTATTCCTTTCAAAGTTACTTGGTTAACTTCATTTAAAAACAGGACATGATGTCTACCTAACTCAAGAAACACCTGCACAGATTTGATTTACCAGATTTTTTAATTAGGCTTTGATATTAAAACATAAGCAGAGACAATTGGGACTTTTGTTTTGAACTTAGCATAGAAAAATAGTGCACATTTTTAATTTTATATACACCTTAATCACTACACATTTGTAAATAAATACTTGTCATACAGTAAATTTTACAGATTTATATTTTTAACTATAAAATTACTTAAATTCAAATTAACTATAAAATTACTTAATTACAAAAATTCCACTTAATAAATATGAACTGTTATTTAAGAAAAGACAATTAGGTATTTATAAGCTATTATATATGCTATTTATAAGAAGAAATTACAATGATCAGGAATTACCCCAGTGATCAATAATTACCCCATCTGTAGGGGGCAACATTTGATATAGTTTCCTATAATCAATTATAATGTTTACAGTTCATGTGAAACAATTAAACAAAAGCTTACACTACTTTTATATCAAAGAAAAAGAAAGTAACTCAAAATATTTATTATTAAGAGAATGAGGGGGATCTTTGCAGAAATATGCACATTTTGAAACCCATCTTTGAAATGGAAAATACAGAAAGCAGTTTAAAAGATACTTATTTTGTTAGATTAAACAAAAAATTATTAATAAGTAAATGTAGTTATACTTTAGTAAAGTGTACAAGCATTCTTGTCCATGTCTCAAATTTAAAAAATTATAATTTTTTAAAAATAAAACTTAGGTTATCATTATTTACCCCAGAAAGAGAGTGATCGTGAATTACCTCGGGTCACCCTATATACAGGATATAAACAGGAAATAAATGTTGGAAAATCCTAAGACATGTCAAAAGACATGAGTAAAAGATATGTCCCAAGGCATGTCTAAGACATCAAAAAGACATGTGTAGATCCATAAAGGAAAAACATATATAATATAAATGATACATAGAAAAAAAATTATCGCATACTTTATAAATAAACATAAAATACACTAATTCAGTTAAGCAGTCAAATTAATTTCCTTTAAAATCCATAACATATTTTTTAAAAACAAACAACTCATCAATTACTATTACAGCTTACTTTTAAAGTAATAATTTTAAAAAAAAAAATTTGTATATAATTTTTTTTTAAAAAAGAAAAAAATTTTAAATCAGTCAATGTAAATTTTAGAAAATCCTATTCAAACATCAATAGAAAATTCTTAAACAAAATATTGAGCTTACATTTAAATTAAAATAGATCTGAAACTTCATCTACCGTTACTTTAGCTTAATATTATGAAAAAATTATTTTAATATCTAAACAAATATAACAAGTTTATATTTTTATATATTAAAATGTAATAAAATACATATTGAAATAAAAATACAACTGTAATGTTAAACTTTAAAATAATGTAATAAAGAATAAATTATATAAATATTTTTATTTCTTTAAATAATCAAAATTAAATAGATAAATAGGAAAAAAATTAGATAAATTAAGTATCACACATGAGAAAAGAATAAATAAATTATTCTACTAGTATGTTCAAACAAAACTTATTAAATGAATGATAAATTAGATTTTAATAAAATATGTATATGAACATAAATGAGTGAAATTAGAAATATAACTTTATTGTAAAACTATAAAAAAAATTAGATAATTTGTTTCAACAAAAACACTTAAAAGAGAATAAAAGAAAAATGAAATGCCCTGCATGATGAAAGAAAAAATACCTCAATGTCAACACAAATCAAATGAAAATATTAAGTGAATTAATTTCTCAAGAAATAAACTTATTACTATTACCTGATTAGATTGACTGTGACTAATACTGGTTTGTGGAGATTGTTGTTGCTGTTGTGGGACAGGAGAATTTTGTTGCACTCCACTCAGTGCCTGCATGTCTGGAATGAAACTCTGTGTTGTCATGGTAACCACATAACCCTGCAATAAGCAAAACAAGGAAATGTTTCATCAAGGAGAAGTAATAAAATTGCTACTTTTCAATCTATAATAAAAGCACATTAGATATACATATTTCCATGAAAAATAATTTTCAGAAAATTGAAGAATTATTTTAAATGGTTTAACTAAAGAACAAAAAATAATTTTTCACTGATTCTTTTTATATTTACTTTAACACTTTTTCTGCTAAAAAAAATATTACATGAAAAAACTTTTTTTCGCACTAGTTTAACCATTGATTTTAAATATATTTACACTGTATTTAAAAAATTAAAATTCCATTAATAAAAGTAATACTTTTAAAATTTATATTTCTAAAAAATATAATATATACAAATATTTAAAATATTATTAAAAAATATGATTTAATAGTTTAATTTTTTTAGAAAAACTACTTAAATAAAAAATAAAGCAAATTTTAAAATTTTTTTTTTTTTTGAAAACAAAAAAAATAGTACAACAAATATTTATTGAATATAAAACTTTACACACGTAAAATATGTTTACAAGATCTCATTTTTATTTTAAATTGTAGGATTGGATTTTCCTATTTTAAATTATTTTATATTTATTAATATTTAAATATTTATCTTCATTTTATTGAAAGATTTTCAATATAAAAAATAGTACAATAAATATTCATTGAATGTAAAACTTTCCTCTGCATGTGTCCAGGAAATCCTTATTTTTAAAAAAAACAGCTTTTAAGAGGTACCGTGTCTTTTGAGAACATGTTAAAAAATATTCAGCAATAACTATCTTCATTTCTCTAAATTAACTCATAAAGATTTTTCTAATCACACAAAGCTAATAATTAATTAAATAATTGCTATCCAAAGAATTTCTTTTATTTTATTTTGACTTAAAATCAAATTGTCTGGCAATAAGAATTATTAAATAAATAAACACAAATTAAGGAACTCTAGGACCCAGATGCACAAGTCTAATTACAGAACCAGTAGCACAGCAATGGGTCTTGCAAACAAAAATATACCAACCTTAAAATAAATATTAGTGATGTTTTTACTTTTCTTTTTTAAATTTTATGCAAAGCTCTGTAATTTCTGAGGATTTAGAATGCTTCAAACCAGGGTTTCCGCTACGGTAGCTTTTTTCGCAAAATGCGAAAAGACCCCTCAAAAATGCTAAAATTCAACAAAGCATTTTCGCATTTTTGCTAAAGGATTTTACTAAATTCTAAGTATAANTCACACAAAGCTAATAATTAATTAAATAATTGCTATCCAAAGAATTTCTTTTATTTTATTTTGACTTAAAATCAAATTGTCTGGCAATAAGAATTATTAAATAAATAAACACAAATTAAGAAACTCTAGGACCTAGATGCACAAGTCTAATTACAGAACCAGTAGCACAGCAATGTGGGTCTTGCAAACAAAAATATACCAACCTTAAAATAAATATTATTGATGTTTTTATTTATCTTTTTTAAATTTTATGTAAAGCTCTGTAATTTCTGAGGATTTAGAATGCTTCAAACTATTTACTTAAAACTTTATTTAGTTTACCCAATGTTTGGCTAATTTTACTAAAATATTTTCTATGCCAAATATATATTCCATAGTATTAATAAAAAAAAAAATAATTGGAATTCAAAATATTTTTAATTTTACTGTTTTCAATTAACTAATAAAGTTTAAATTTTTAAATACCATTTAGCATTTGGCATTCTTGTATTACAAAACTTGAAAATCTGGAATATTTCAATAAAAATATTTTACCTCTCACTACTCTGCAAATAAATTTTAAAATTTTTTCATTGTATTGCAGATCATAAGAGAAAATTCAGCAACTTGGTGTATCAATATTTAAGTTCTAGAACAATCGAATAATCCAGCATTTTGAAATGCTACAAGTTAATTTGAAAAGCAGTATTTTTCACTAATTGCAGTGAGCCCACATACTTAAACATAGACTAATTAGAAAATGTATCATTCACTCCTTGATTAGCCTGATTTGTTTCAGGCAGTTTGCAATAAGTTCAGGAGAGTGAAGACTTATTATTAAAAATCTTGTTTCAGGTTGATTGTAATAAGTCAAAGCAAATTTACTTTGAGTATTCCTTCACACATTTCCTAATTAGCATGAACAATATTAAAAATTTCAACAAAAATTTTTTTAATAAATATAAGCCTTTCTTTCCCAATTGTTCAAAAGCACACTGTTAAGTAGAAGTACAAATTTACAGACTAACATTCGAAATTTAATATATGTATTATTACTTGAGTGCGATTTTCCCCATAATCTATACATTCCATCAGACGCAACAACTTTAAGTACCTGAAAACAATAAATATTGCATTTAGAAGTAGAAGGCGGTATTTAGATATGAACAAAATTAACAGCTAAAAATAAAATTTTAATTTTTTGATCTAAAATGGTTCCTTATTTCACACCTAAAAGTTTTTTGATATAAGGAAAAATTTCTGAACAATTTATTATTGATTTCATCAAAATATCCAGGCATGAATAAATTTTAGCAACGTTTATAATATTATAATTACATTATAAATGATTATAAAATGTTTTATGAATTTAATACAAATACATATGAATATAAAGTTTTTTATTTAATAAAAAGTTAATAACAAAATTAGTAATTAGAATTATTTATTCAAATCACATGAAAATAAATTATACTATTACTGAATAAATTTGTATAAGATATGATTGATTTACTAAAACAGTTGTGTCCGATCATTATACTTTTTTTTATTATCATAAAAAGAAAAGAAAAATTTATTTCCTAAATTCTAGGATTTTCAGGAAACTTGGAATTCCAGGTTTAATATGCTTCAGAGAAAGTGGTTAACTTATTTATTATTGATTTCTAACAGTGCATTATAAAGAATAATCTAACCTAACAAGAACAATTAAAAACAGTTGGATCTTTCACAGCATCTTTAATTAAGGCTTAAACTATCACTCCTATTTATTAAAAACTTTATTTTTGAGAAATGACCTTAGATTCATATTGACAGGCTTTAAAAATTAGCTCAATAATTGTACCTTATTTTAGTCAAGTGTCAGCATAAAATAAAATTTATTAGCTTATGATTACAAATCAAACCAACTAACAGACAAACAGTAAAAAAGTGAATATTATAATTTTTTTAAAGACAGTTTTAAAAATGTATTGTTTTATTAAGATATTTAATTAAAGATTAATCTACTGAGTTACTATGCTTTCTCCCTTCTTCAAATACTAAAAAAAATTTTGATAGTTCAAAAAATTGAAACATTTTATAATCTTTCATGAAATTTATAAAAATACCTTTTAATGTATATACTCAACAAATTCCACTGACGCAGTCAAGAGTCAGGAAAATAAATTTATATTTCAAATTAAATAATTATACATTCCCATGAAAGTAATACTAAAATATAATTATATAATCGGTTTAATTGGAATTTAAAATAACTTACCATACTAAAAAGCAAACCTTGTTTTTATTAAACAAAACAGTTTATTTTTTAACATATTTAGTACATAAAATTACAAATGAATTTAATACTTTATCTCATAATTAACTTTTTTTATAATTAATTTCATCACAAATATTCTAAAATGCTTAAATAGTTGCTTAATATTTTACGACTTTATAAATAGGACCTTAATACTAAAAGTTCAAAAATTGTAATTAAGTATGGTATGATATAATTGCTATGCTACCTACCATACAAGATATATACTGTAACTAAATAATTATTTCTGATATAAACTTTTTTAAGAGAAAGTTGACAACAAGTATTACAAAATATCTAAGAGAAAAGATGCTTTGATTTCTTTTTTCCGACAAGAAAGAATTATAAGCAATACAATGATAAAACAAATTCTATTATTAAGAAATAATGTGTTGTAAGATTCAAAAACAATTAAATTTTCTTTCTTTTTCGAAGTGCAAAGAAACAAATTTGAATTGCTTAGTTTAGCTTACAGAGAGTCACAGGGTGCAAAATCACAAAACACTGTGATGCTAATGTAATATTTTGATGTTTCCATAACTCTATACTTCAATAACAATTAAAATAAATCTATAATAAAATAGTTGAACATAAAATATCGAATCGCAAAATTTTATAATTGATTGTTTTAATACACTATCTCAAACTTTCCAGGAGTTCACATATAAAATTAATAATTGAAACTGAAAGCATAAATTTCCTAAATCAGCAGAAGGTGCATCAGTGACTTGAACTGTAAGAGATGGCCTAAAAATTGCATAACTCGAGTTAGTTAATATGCTTGAAAAGTCTTTCAGTTAATTAAAAAAAAAAAATTAAAGTTTAATTCACTTAATCTAAATAGAAGAAGTCAGAGAGGATCGCCACAGAACCATTTCAAAAAAGGCACCTTATATTTATGTCAAAGGATCACAGATCAAGCACAAATTATATTATTTTTCAACATCCATAAACATAAATAAAATTTGTATGGATACTATACTAAATTAAAAACAACAAATAATGCGATTAAAATTATTAAATAATAAAAGCAAAGTTATCTGAAAACTTTATTAATAGCAAACAAATTGGTAAAAATAATGACCAATACAAAAACTAGCATTACCATAAAATAAGAAATAATAATAATTTAGTTGAAATGTCATGTACTAAAACTATTTCTTTTCTTAGAAATTATGAAAATATATAACTAACGAAAACAAAATCCTGATAAAGAAAGAATAAAGGAATAGGAAAAACAAAAGCTAAAACTACAATTACTTAAAGTCAGGTAAACAAACAATAACTACACCTATAATAATTGAAGTATCAAATTCATCATAATAAAACATACATAACGGTAACAATTCAAATAATAAATAAAACTTACAAAAGTTTCATACAGAAATGTCATTATACAATGAAACATTACTACTTAATCATGGGAAGACCGACAACTTTAAAACTCTACGAAACATACTTCAACTCAATTTAGTATCAAAAAGATTATGAGAAATAAACGAAGGATTACTTCCATTGAAAATAAACTAACTTTCGTTATAAATTCTTTTAAAAGTAACGATACATTTAAGTTATTAATTTTAACATATGATAAAGTAACTACAGAAGAGTAATACTCCATATCTGCCAGATGAAGATAGAGAACTTTAAATAAACAAATGAAAAAATTTGCGATTTTTACCTCGGAAGCAAACTTCGATTTCAAGTCTTCAGCTGATATTAAACATTTTAGCATCACACTAATAAATATACAAACATCGCAACTATTACATCACAAACAAATAAATAAGATATCAGAACAACACCAAAAACCACAAATTATGGCGTTTAAAGAGGTGGCTTGTTGCCAGATTCAAAATCAAACTTTTGTGAAAAGATAGAATAAAATTCCAAACAAAGTAAGCTAAAAGAAACAAATTCATTTCGCATTCAATTTAACGATAAATTCACCATTCTCACTGTATGTAAAAAATATTCGTTTGTGAATTCAGAGATGCGAACAACAATCTGATTGGCAAGTTTTTCATGGGTAAATATATTTCACAAATCAGGTTCTCATTCGTATACACAAATGTATGCAGTGAGGACAACTCTTATTAAACTAAAATGTTTCAAATTTCTAAAAATTATTTAGGCCCATCGTCAATTGAATACTCCAAACAGAGGGATTGCTAATAGCCCGTTGGGTCCAGATAAGTATCAGTTGAGTGCTTTACGCTGATATTTTAGTAAAAAAAAAATTCCCCCAGTGCATTGATCGCAAGGCGCAAGAATTTCAGTAGATCACCGAAGTCAAGGTGAAAGACCACTTTGATCAGCATACGCAGGGACCAAGGGTGCGCGGTATCGATCCTCTTTAAACTGTTTTATCTTAAGAGTTATTGATTGCGCGCAGCTCATCAGGCTACCAATGCGAGTGAACCATTCCGTCTGCAGATTATCAAAATTGTGATAACATGTCTTCAGATCATCTTCAGGATTACTTCCCAGATTGTCAGCAATAGTCATAGCTCATTGTCCAGCTTTAATGCGACGTATATAAAGTATATGTTAAATTACGTAATTTTAACCCACTGACGGTTCTTTACGTAAAAGTCGTTTTTTAACCTGCAGTCTTCACCGCATAGCAAAACCGGTTTCTCCATGTTATTAGGTAGGAGTATAGTGTATTGGGGGAGAAACATTCTCCTAATCTTGCCTTTTTACTAAACCGCCAGTGGGTTAAATGCTAAAATCCGAATAAAATCAATTGAATAGTTATCGAGAAACAATAATAAAAAGCCGTATCACTCTAGTTGCAGCGTTATCTCCAAATTTTAGGACATCTTTGAAAATTATGTAGATAAGTATACGCACGGTATGAAAATTTTTGCCCTTATATTAATTTTTTTTTCATAAATTAAATAATAATGCAAGTTTATTTTATGCATGAAAATATCCTTGGGGAACGCGTTTAGCTATTGGCGTCACTGAATGATATGTAGTAAAAGAATTGGAAACGCAAATTGTAAAAATAACACTTTGAGGCTCAACTGTTAAAATTTAGATCTGATGAGAATATAAGGACCTATCATCTAATTTTGTTATCATTTAATATTTAAGCAATATTAATGGCCCTTACAAGTGAGAGTTTTCGCATTCAAGCACCCAGCTTAAATGTTTTCTAAAAATACTTAAAAAATGTTATTTTCTAATCTCAATTTATATGTTTTTTTTCCCTTTCTTCTTTTTGTGCTGGGCCTATTTTATTTAATATTACTGCCTTATTTACTATTGTATCTATATGGTAAATTAGAAAAACTTTTCAAATTTTTAAAGCTAAGAATTGATTTACAAATATTGGTTTCTATAATTAGTAAGAACAATTATCCACACAAAGCCCCGAGAGAAAATGGTACCCCCCCCCCCNCCCCCCCCCCCCCATGGCTTTGTTCCTTTCAAACCAGTGTTGAAGCTTGCAATATATAACATTCCTTTTGGATAAAAAGTGATTCCATTTTTTTAATATTTATTTCGCAAATTGGTTGAAATACCAGAGTTGCAACAAAGTAAGAAAAATTGATAAAAGCAAGCAAAGTTTACGCAACATTCTTTTTTCTACAGATACTGTTCTGGGAATACAGTTTTCAGTAACTCATTCTAGAAATTTCTGAAAGAAGTTACTTGGAAAATAAAAATAGCAAAAAAAAAACCCATCAAGAACATATTGTTTTACATTCCCTTTTATAAGAAATAAAGCTTAGTCCCCTAAAAAACCGAAATTATATTCTCACAAGTTAAAAAAGAAGTATTGCACTAAATTCTAAACAATTTTTAGTTAATTAAATGGTTACTACTTCATTTATAAAAATCCTAATTGCATTGAGGGAATAAAAATTAGGATTATAAATTTTCTATTAAGCAATTATCTATAAAGAAAAATTCAAATTTAAAGGGTAGGGTAGATTAAATATTACAGGTATTTTTATTTGCAATGAAATTACTTTTTCTAACAAATAAAAATTTTAATGTCTGAGATTTAAGTTATAAAAAATATTATAATTAGGATATTCAATGCATATCATGTTAAAGCAGACAATGTACTCAGGTGATTTTTTCCAATTTTAAGTGCTAAATACTTTGGAAAAACACAATTACATGAAATTTCCCCCCCTCTAATATAGGCAAAGATCTTCAAACTTTAATCACTTAATTAAGTACATAAGTCTTTTTAAAGTCAGAAAATATTAATAATTTAGATTTTTATTCTTGTATTTTTTTAGAACGTTGCAGAGCGGACAGACATCAAGAACTGGTACTTTAATAAAATTAAGATTTGATCTTAATTTTAATTAAAGGCGAAATCTATATATCCAGATCCTGAATGTGCATATTTTAGAGTAGGATTCTATAATTATAAATTAACCTTCGGCATACGGTGTTTTTCAAAAGTTTGTCATTCTGGTTGGCTTGTTCTATCAGTCATAAAACCTTCCTTTTTCTGGCCGCCCACCCCCGGGGTATTCAGAAATATTGGTTCACTGTCGCTAACAGTTCTTGCAACAAAAACATAGGTCCGAAACTCGAGCCGAGTGACCCAGATGAGCCACCACTTGTGACGTTTATTAAATCAAAGAAATTTAAACACAAACAAGCCAGAAAATACTGGAAACAGTTTCAGTTGTACCAGTAATACGCATAAGATTAGGGGTCGTGACTACCAAATACATGACATTAAAATTTTTGCTATTGAAAATAGCAGTACAATTTTATAAAAATAGATGCTAAAGGAAAGGACAAATTTGATTTATACAAACAATGCATGCTATTATAATTAAATTAAAAATATAAACTGCAAAATGTAATGTGCAAATGAGAAATAGACAAGACATTAATTTTTTTTTTTATTATCATTCATTTCTAAACATGAAAGAAATTTATGTACATAGGATAATTATGTACACAGTACAAATGATATTTACAATCTGCATGACAATGTATTATGCCTCAATCTCTATATCGTTGCATGAGTGGCTTCCAGACATAAATTCAGTTAAACGTGTTTGAAAATCTCCTACATATTCAGGTTGCAGCATCTTTTTAGCTCTCCAAAGAACAGTAGCATAGTTTGCAGAATTTCCATCTTTATGTTCTAGTTCTAACTTCATGTAGTCTAACCATATATCTGAAATTACAAACAAAACATAATTTTTTTCAAAAAACATCATAAAAAATAGCGATTTTAGAAAATTTTAATTGCTGACTACAAAAATAGATCAATAAAAAATTAGTCAAAGTATTTATTGGAGGAGAGTAAGTTTCTTTACTTTAGTATTGATACCAATTTATGCATACAAACACATTTTGTTTTCGGCAATAATAACACTTATAACCTTTATTTTAAGAGAAAATACATTAAAATAGTCAATCCTAATTCCATAATGAAAATGCATTAAGCATCTAGGAACTCATACTTCACATTTTTCCCAGGCATTCTATAGAATGCCAAATGAGAAGCTGGCAAAGTAGGGAATGAATACATCTCCAATTCGTTTAGAATGCAATACAATTTAAAATGCCATGTTGCGACATCGTGTATATCATGCTGCAACAAGAAAGTTGACTTCATGTCGTACTTTTTATATAAAAAAATTTTGTTTCCCTTAATAAAAAAGACATACATTTTGCTTTGCACACTTTCAATTTTATTTTACCTATTTTGAATACATTTTTTAATCTCTTTTTTTTTTCAGAATAACATTTGTATTTTTGTGGAATGCACATTATTTATATAATAGCCATCAGAACCTTTTTTCATACTTTGCCTAAATAACATCTGTCATTCTATAGAATGCTTTGGTATCATATACAATGGTGTGGTGAAAGTATATAATAATACTCAGATTTCATACTTTTTCTAAAAACGCCTGTACAATGTCCAGGCACTGTGAAGAATGCTGGTATTTCATATTTTAGCCAGTAATATATACACCAATACTTTCAGGACATTTAAAATGTTTGGACTTTGCTTCCATATCATTTGTAGATCTATGTTTAAGAGTGATATGGTGATTTTTGGTAAACTGTCTAATTAAATGGTTTTCAAAATCTATATGTTTTGTTCGATAAAGGTATAAGAGGTTTTCCAACAGTTTTAGAAGATCAAAAATATCACCAAATATATTAATATTACAAAATTGATTTAAAGTTTACTTCTTTAACAGTTTTTGCCAGTATAGAATTTGCAACATGTTTTGAAAATATAGTAGGTGAAGGCTTAAACTGGAATAATTTTAAGTATCATATTACATCGTTTCTTTTCCCTGATGCAGGTGTTTGATTAGTCCTTGATTGTTCAACTATAACTCCTTTTTTTGCTTTGAAATTTTTTGTTTTGTCCATTAATTGATAGAATAATTATGAATGCACACATTAAATAGATAGATGCAATGCAAAGGTAGAGAATCCATATTTTTAATATATGCAGAATTTCAGAAGCTCTGGATAGAACAACACAATAAAAAAATTGAGAATATGAGTAAAGAAGTATGAGGAATTTTAGTAATTTTATTACTTATCAAAGCACTGTAATGTTTAATCCTTTATTTACACATTATTATTGAAAAACTAATAGTAGTTTTTAATCATCCCTTCCCTCTTAATAGTCAATTTTTCAATAGCGATGATTCCTTAATAGGGTTTAATACCCTAATTTTTTTCACTCGATTAGATATGTATAACGGCAGCTGCTTTATTTTATTACGAAAAGAGAATTTGATTTATTTTCTGTCACAAGTTTAACATATTTGTATAAAATTATAAACTATTTGATAAGCTACATAAATAAACTATCTATGTCTTACTAGTTTTTTACAGAAGCAATTTTATTATAACAAATATTTGCAAAACTATTTATCAATTCATACAAAAACAAATAATCATATAAATCAAATGACACACATGCATATACATCATAAAAATACAGTTGTCTCATATTAAGGTCAAGCTATTTTGGAGACTTTAGCCAATAAGAAAAAAGTCTGTCATGTGATCAATACCCCAAAAAACTAATCAGATGTTTGTGTGTAACCAACACTGAATTCAACTAATAACAGCATTAATTTGATGTTGCGTTTTGTCACTACAACTCAATTTCCCTCGATCTTCGTTTGCAAAGCAAATAAAAAATAATTGTGTAGCAATTATTGGGGTTTGGCGAGCATCAGCGAGCAGGAGGCAGATCCCTCTAGTATATATATACAGTGAAACCTCCAAGAAAGATCACCTCTATGTAGCAACTTCCCTTATCTACAACTACTTTTGGGAGGAATGGAATTTCTTCCATAAACTTTGTGATGAAGAAAACCTTTAGGAGAGACCACCGAAACCTCTCGCAGGTACCGGGCTAACCTCTGTACCGAATATTCTAGTAAGGAAACAGGAGAAAAAAAAATATCAAGACAAAAAGTATTAACAAAACAAATAAATAGGTAAAATTGCATTCAAAATATTTGCGCGAGGTTCTTATTTAGAGTTGAAAGTTAAATAAGAAAAAAAGTTATTAAAAGAAACTAAGCATCACAAACTTCCTCTCATTTTTTAAAGCTAACTAATTTTTATAATATAAAATTAAATGCAAACCTAAAAACAAAAATATAAAATTACTCATTTATTCAAAATAATTATATCATTAATAATTGGTAAATAGGTTTTTACTTATAATTATATCAATAGAAATCATTTTCATTGACGCTAAATTTATTCCTCGATCCGGTTTTCATTATTCCAACACAAGTGGCATTTCCGCAAGGAAATGACATTGACTAAAATGAAAATCGTTTACAGAAAATCATGTACCTTTGATAACATTTTGAAGTCAATGTGGGTAACCCCTAAGAACGAACAACCTCCATTAACGATCATTTTTACTCTGGAATAGAGAGTGGTCACTCCTGGGAAGTTTTACTGAATATATATATAGAACAAATACAACAGAGTTAAAAAAAAAAATTCAAATAATTTATGTAGTATAAAATTCTTTACCAATATTTGTGGCGCCGAATTCTTGAATGCCATCTTCATAATATTGTCTTAACAAATCAATAGAGGAGTTCATCTATGATAGAAAAATAAATAAATAAAAATTACAAATTTGAAATAATGTTAACTAATTTCTGTCCTCATGATTAAAAATAAATAAATCATTTGTTTGTAATTTACAGAAATGTGTATGCAAATTGAAAGAAGTGATTACTGACTATAATTCTTTCGTTGGTAATAATTTTTCTAAATTAATGAAAAGAACTATAACAGAATTCAGAACTCGAAATATAATAATTAAAAAAAATGTAAAAATATTTTATTCATCATTTAAACTTAACCATTTTTACTGCACTCTACAAGACTAGTTTGATTATAAATTACATCATTCAGATCCTTAATTTCCAAATACATCTTTCATATGAATTTTAATTTTAATAAAAAAATAAAAATGGAGAGAAAAAAAGGACAATGTGATGCTAGATAATGTTTTCATTACAAATAAAAGCTTACTTAACATTTAATTGTTTGTTTACAAATTGAAAGAATAGAGGGGTAGAATCTCCTCTCTCTAGTGTTTAAACTGATAGAACTTTTAGCTTTTATTTTCAAGATATTTTTTAATAAAATAGAGATTTTTTTCATGTACTGGTTTAAGGATAATGGACCAGGGAAAACTAGTTATTATTTCCCCGCAAAGAACAATACTTATGCATTAATTCAACTGTCTTAGGTTCATTTATTACAATAGTAAGAAATTATTGAAATTGAATTCACAAATTCAAACAATATTATGTAATCAATCAAAAGTTGTAATTATCTGTACTTGGAAAAAAAGTGGTAACTTTGCTACACTAAAGGCAAATCTACAAAGATGTATATGTAGTAAGAAAGGGAAACAAGACACACTAGAATCAGCAGGCATATATTACTTTTTACAATAAAAAATATAATAGCAATAGTAAAAATTGTATCATAACTTACTTGTCCATTTTCAATCAATATCATTTTTTTGACAATATGATGAGATATAGGTCCCAACTTTTTAAACCTTTAAAATTACAAAATGAAGAACTTCAATAAAGGAAATGACATGTCAGAATAATCAGCAGTTTTATTTTATTACATGAAAGATAATAGTTAATAAAAGAATACTGAATACCAGAAGTCAAACATATTTCCAAATACAAAACATAGCTAACAGTCAACTTAATACAGCGTCACAAATTGATTTTCCCTAGTCACATAATTTAGGGCAAAAATGCCGTGACCGGAAATTGAAGCCTTTAATGATTTTAATTAATTTAATCCCTTTTCTTAATTCCATATTTTCCAAATTTCAGAACTCAAAAATTTGTAATTTTTAGCTATTTTAAGAAGTGAACGGTAACTACTTTTGTTAGCATGTTTAGGTCTGATAGAAAATATTGATTGTTGGTCCAGTGAACATTTTATTTTAAGGCATTGAAACACTGATCCCACTAGACTTTGGAAAATATGGGGACAGGGGATTTCAAAATTTCCCGAGTTTTTGTTAATAGTAATAAAAATGTCAATTTCAGACACAGATAAAAAGAATTTTTTTATGATTAGAAAAAAAAATGCATTTTGTAATTGATTCAATAATAATTTGACGAAGAGCTAAAACCAAATTAATTGTGAGAATTATTTTAACTTTGAAAAAAATACTTTATCTTCAATGAACATTGTGAAAATATAGTCAAAATTATTATAAAATAACTTTAACCCAGATGAACAGTTTGTTATCGCTTTAAATAAAAAAAGAAGACCACAATAAAATCAGGAAACTTGGTAGTTATATGAGCACAATGATCTTATCTAACATATAAAGTACAATAAGATTTAAGTTTCCCTTAATTATTAAATTCTAAATTAAATCAATCATTGAATGCGAAAACAATAAGATTAATAAAGAAAGATCAAAACAATTTACTATTAACTAAACAACAGCCAATTTTAGTCAATAAATTTAATCTAATTACTTTTTATATAATTTCCTAGTTGCCTCAATACCAGATTGGATTGCTGTAGCTTCTAAGTACATTTCCTTAAGTGGAACAGAGATTTCTTTAGGTTTTTTAATTCCAGTCTAAAAAAGAAAAAGAAATTTTAAAAATTTTCAATAAAGAAATTGAAATATTATAACTTTAATAATAATAATAAAAAAAACAGAACTTAACATAAGAGTAAATTAAACATAAAATTTTAAATATAAATATGCACATAAAATATTATACATAAAATTAAAATACTTATTTACCTCAAAAAATTCAATCAACTTTTCTGGATCTAAAGCAGATAACCATTCAACTCCTAACTTCCATAAAATGACTGAGTCCTAAGTATAAAAAAATCATGATAAAATTGTTATTTTAAACAAATTAATTTTAACTGTTTGAACTAATAAGCTTCAAGACAGATTAAAACTTTTAGTAAAAAATTTTTTTTTAATGCATAACATAAATCTGTACTGTTAATGCATTTTTTGTTCAGAAAATACATATAAACTGAGAAACATGTTAAAATAAAGATTTTTAAAAATAACGGTATTGCTTATCTTTTGCTTTAATAGCAACATGAAAGGAAGAAGCAAAATTCAGTAGATTTCATAAAATAATAGTTAGAATATTTATGCAAACTATTGCGCAATGTATAAAATACTATTCACTATGGGAATTGTAAGTATTTTTAACAATCAATTAAAGAAAATAAAATAGAAAAAATGATGACTATAGAATATATATATACAGTCGAACCCCGCTATAGTGAACCGTCTGCGGACTCAGTAATGTGTCCACTNGGGGTTCGACTGTACTTATATACATTATTAATCTAATATTTTCTAGAACTGATAAATATTAAAAGGGTTTTTCTTTATTTATAATGTTTATTATGTACTTAAATCTAAACTTTGCTACAAATATTAAATTAATTTCATAATAATTCCAAATACATATTTTAAAAAATATTTAATTTTCTAAAAGTCTTAATAAAATTTGAATTTTTTTTCAAAATGGAAAAAGTTTTAAACTAATTGAAATGAAGTGCACTTAATTAAAAGTACTAAGTAGCTATTTAAAATCACAAGTAAATTAAAAGTTGAGAGAAAAATATGTTTTGATAGAGATTTTTTTCAAAAACTTGCCCAATTTTAAGGAATATTTTAAAATACAGTTGAACCTTGATCAATCGTTCATACATCATGCATTGTTTTATTTTAACTATCGCATTACAAATGCTATTTTTATATTGCTAATAATATCTGTTTAAATCATTTTTGAAATGAGAAGATTCCTGGATTTTTCAGAAATTCTACCAGATTCCTTTATAATATTAAAAAGTTGTGATTGCCTTGTTACGATCACTGGTTACCCATTGTTCAAATGTTTTTTTCTTTTGGGAATGACTCCATTAAATGCCACAACATTTCAAATCATGGGTAGCAAAAATTGTCTCTAATTATACGTTAATAATAGAAAGAATATAAAAATACTTTAAATTATTATTATGTAAATACATTAAAATGCCTGCTAGTGAAAATAAGAACAGCAGCGGTCGCCATAGCAACGCAGGCGCACTGTTTACTATTACTCTTGAACACAGTTGAAAAGTGTGTGGGTGCCATCAAATCCAAACCAAGATTCATTCTGCCAATGGGCAACATTGAAGTTAATTTATTTTGAGAACAAAAACAGTAACTCTTAATACAATTCATGAAAAAAACGTGAATTTGTTACAGCTTTTGTATAAAGCCTTAAATAACAGATTTTGCATATATGGATCAGTCGATAAAAATGTTTAAACTTGTGGTGTTGTCGGTTTAAGAATTAGTTGCAGAATCCGAAGAAATGCAAAGTGATATCGATGAAAATCAAGATAAACACAAGCAAACATTTGTGGAAAGCGTGAATCCTTTAAAACAATGAAAAACTTTTTCTATTCACACGAGCTTTCAAAGAATGAACAGCAAAGTGTCACAAATATCAAAAATTTATTGTTTGCTATGAGGACAAAGAGAATCAAAATTTCCAATAAATCAATATATTTATAATCTTAGGGTAAATGAATAAATATATTTATTTATCCTTCTTTTGCATCATAAATATTTTCAAAGAAGTAACATTACATATTTTTTTCAACTAAAATTTTTTTTATAGGTAATGTAAATTTATTAACTTTCTAGTCATTATTTGATATTTCAAGTTGAGACACATTTATCATTTCCCCCTATGTTTGTAATGAATGATCCCCTGAGAAACGATCAATCGAGGTTTATCATTATAACAAGAGAAATTGACTAAATCCAATAGAGCTGAAAGCTATGCTGTTGGTATCAGGTATTTTTTGTATAAACTAAAAAAGGTCAGTAGACTGAGGTTACAATGTGTTATATAGGTAAATGTACAATAAATAAATAAATATGCAGAAACAAAGCCATATTCAAGGATAAAAAGACAGGGACAATTGTCCAAGGTTTATGAGTTTTGAGGGAAAGGCCAGTAAAACCTGTAAGCCTTGAGTATCATTTTTGCAAGCTGCATGCGACACTTTTCATGAAAGTTGAAGTTTTCTTACATACTTCTTTATGAATCAAATAAAAATATGCATCCAAAAAAAGTTTATCCTCTTGAACAGATGAGCTTAGTAGTAAAATACTTTATATGACATTTCGTAAAAATTGAAATTTCAAAGGATAAGTTTTATTTTAGCTCCATACAGCAATATTTTTTTTTCCAAACTTTTAAATTTTGTAGATCTTAGTGAATGCAGTACAAAATGATAAATGACAGTCTGAGTGGTTCTCAGAGTGGAAGAAAGTTCCAAGTGCATTGGGCAACATAACAAACAAATCAAAAGCAGCTTAAAATGTCTAGAATATTAACTTTAAGAAACAGTTTAAATAAATAAAAGGATTTTATAGATATCACCAATTGGAAACTTGTGAATAAGAAATAAATGCATGAAATAATCTTTATTTTTATTATCAACATATAATCTTTAAAGGTAATTTACTCAAATTCCTTAAAATGTCACTCAGAGAACAAGAAAACAAAAGTGCAATACAAAAATAAATAACGCAAAATGTTGTGCAAAAAAGAAATGGATATAATAGAAACAAAATTTAAAAATAATAAATAGATCAAATAATGCCAAAAATAGAGCTGATTGATAAATAAGGTTATTATGGTCTAAACTGTAAAATTGTGTAAAAATTTCTTCTTTTTTTAAAGGCAAATTCACCAAAAAGTTTTAAATTTAGGCTTTAACTATAAAGCTGTATAAAATAATGGTACAAAGCTATATATAAAATAATGCGGATTTTTGAACATTTAAGCACGATTTCTAGACAATATTTTGTTTCATCAAAACTTTGCAAGATTATTTTGTCTACAGTTGACAATGTATGTAAACATTTATAAATAAAATCTATTGTAATAACAGAACACTGATAACACACTATTAAACATCTCATACATCACTAACCGAATCAATCTCAACACGTCATAGAACTGAATTCTACTTTACTAAAATATACCTTTTCAGGCACTGTGTTCAGAGCTTCAAGTAGATACTTATATATTTGCTTAGTTGGGTGCAATAGTTGAATATGAAAAGTTAGTGTTTTGAACCATAAATCAACTGTGTTAAATTTGCGAGCAGCTTCCAGAGAAATAGATAGTCCTTCGCCTTCATCACCTCTTTCAAAAAGAAGCTCGATCTATAACAAACGAAATAAATAAATTAAATACAAGGTGTAGCAATTAATTTCTAGGACTGATTAAAAAACTACAGAAAATAATATGCGAGTTACATAAGATTTTATATATTTCACTATTACCTCTACCTCAGCTGTAAAAGTTTCTAAAACAAGTTTTAAGCTCAACAATAAGTTGTCACCTAGAATGATCTTCAATTACATTAGTATAGGAGAAAATTAGGAAATTTTACTACAGCCGATTAGCTGCAGCATTTCTAATAGTGAGCACTTTTTAAAACACATAGCTATTTTTTCAAAATTTAAGTTTGGAACAATGAAAAATGTAAGGTGTAATAATATAAGGCATTTTATTCGAAGCATTTCTCAAAATATGATTAACATTACAACAAGGTTCATTCAGGGAGCAAAGTCAAATCTTTAAACAAAAAAATAAGCACATTTTCAGTACTTTTTCAGCACTCAAAAAACATTTTTAAGCACTATGTACATTAAGAATATGCAAAGTAATTTTCAATAACTTTACATGATCATGATAAAATACCTAGTTTCTGACAAAGAACTTATCCCTTATATAAAATGAACTAACTTATTATAAAATGATCGAGAGATTTTTTTGTTCGATTTCAGAGGGTGGAAAATGAAGCATAAAATTGAGCAGAGTTGCACATGAGAGTGCAATAATCTCACCAAACACAGCTCACTATACGCACATGCAAACTCACAAGTATTTCACCAAACCTGTAAAATGATTGGAGCTTTCATACGCTATAGACTGATGGTACGCCGAAATGAATTATGAAAACACTGAACAATAGAAAAATGTTAAAAGCCCGCTTTTGCATAATATGCGGCGAATATCGAAATGGTAACGAAAAAAAAATCTCCTTTTTGAGAAGGAAAAATTAAGTACTTTTTAAAAACACCCAATGAAAAAAGCACCTTTAAGGGCTTTTAAAAAACGAAAATCGGAAATAAGCACTTTTTAAAAATGCTATGCACCATGTTTATTTCTAAAAAAAAGAAAGTCATAATTTTCAGAATGTTCATATGTACAGTGAAAGACCACCAGGAAAGACCACCTCTATTTAGGACCACTTTTGGGAGGTACAGAATTTTTCCTTATAGAGTTTGTGTTGAAGAAAACCTTTATGAGAGAGCATCAAAACTTCTCCCAGTGACCAGGCAAACCTCTGCACCAAATGCGATAAAGGACAAATAAGGAAAGACGAAAAAATATCAACAAAAGAAATCAGTAGATAAAAATATATTCAAAATATTTGTGTGAGGCTCTTATTTAGAGAGCTCTCTTTGACGATCTCTGAAGGAGATCTACAAATTCATGTTGCAGTCAGAGTGCACTAAAGATGATGCTATAAATAATATATTTTAAGAGTTGAAAGTTAAATTAGAAAAAAAAAATTCAAAAACTAAGCAGGCAAACAAACCTCTCTTATTTTTTAAAGATAAAAAATTAAATGCAAACCTTGAAAAAAAAAATGTTTATTAATTTAAAATAATTCTATCATTCATAATTGAAAAATTTGTTTTTGCACATAATTATATCAGTAGCTATCATTTTTATCAACGCTAAATTTTATAAATCTATCGTGTTTTTATGACGTCAACACAAGTGGCGTTTCTGCACCAAGAAAATGACACTGACTAAGTTTAAAATCATTTGCAAAAAATCTTTAATAATATTTTAAAGCCAATGGAGGTAATTTCTAAGAATGACCAACCTCCATTAATGACCATTTTACTGTAGAACAGAGAGTGGTCACTCCCAAGAAGTTTCACTGCATTAAAAAAAAAAAACTAATAAATTTCACGTGACCTTTTCCATGAATTGGTAACTTCAAAACACATTAAATAGTAAAGTAAATCACATTAAATGGTTATGTAATTCACANATTATGAAAACACTGAACAATAGAAAAATGTTAAAAGCCCGCTTTTGCATAATATGCGGCAAATATCGAAATGGTAACGAAAAAAAATCTCATTTTTGAGAAGGGAAAATTAAGTACTTTTTAAAAACACCCAATGAAAAAAGCACCTTTAAGGGCTTTTAAATAGCGAAAATCGAAAATAAGCCCCTTTAAGCACTTTTTAAAAACGCTATGCACCATGTTCATTTGTAAAAAAAAGAAACAGTTATAATTTTCAGAATGTTCATATGTACAGTGAAACCTCCAGGAAACACCACCTCTATTTACGACCACTTTTGGGAGGTACAGAATTTTTCCTATAGACTTCGTGTTGAAGAAAACCTTTATGAGAGAGCATCAAAACCTCTCCCAGCGACCAGGCAAACCTCTCCACCAAATGCGATAAAGGACAAATAAGGAAACAAATATTAAAACAAAAAATATTAACAAAAGAAATCAGTAGATAAAAATAAATTTAAAATATTTGTGCGAGGCTCTTATTTAGAGAGCTCTCTTTGACGATCTCTGAAGGAGATCTACAAATTCATGTTGCAGTCAGTGTGCACTAAAGATGATGCTATAAATAATATATTTTAAGAGTTGAAAGTTAAATTAGAAAAAAAAAATTCAAAAACTAAGCAGGCAAACAAACCTCTCTTATTTTTTAAAGATAAAAAATTAAATGCAAACCTTGAAAAAAAAAATGTTTATTAATTTAAAATAATTCTATCATTCATAATTGAAAAATTTGTTTTTGCACATAATTATATCAGTAGCTATCATTTTTATCAACGCTAAATTTTATAAATCTATCGTGTTTTTATGACGTCAACACAAGTGGCGTTTCTGCACCAAGAAAATGACACTGACTAAGTTTAAAATCATTTGCAAAAAATCTTTAATAATATTTTAAAGCCAATGGAGGTAATTTCTAAGAATGACCAACCTCCATTAATGACCATTTTACTGTAGAACAGAGAGTGGTCACTCCCAAGAAGTTTCACTGCATTAAAAAAAAAAAACTAATAAATTTCACGTGACCTTTTCCATGAATTGGTAACTTCAAAACACATTAAATAGTAAAGTAAATCACATTAAATGGTTATGTAACTCACATAATATTTTCAAGAGTTATTAAATCAATCTTTAAAATTAAGAGCTGCATTTTGAATTAAAAATGGCATGATTTAATTATTTATTAACAATATAATAAATTACATACCCATTCTGAGTAGTAAATTGCTGATAATTGTTCATAAGAAGCTGCTCTTTCCATAATTTTAACAACTTTATCTTGAAGCTGAAAACAAAATGTTTCAATTGGGAATAAAGAACAATTTTAACAAATATACATGCAAAATTTCATTCAGATTTTTTCCCTCTGCTTAAGATGCATAACTAAATTGATATCTAAGTATGTATCAAAGCAGTGGAATGTATTTTTTAAGCATTTACTTCATTTTCAGCAATGAACAGTCATAGTGGATTTGAAGTAATAACATTTATATGGAAATACACAGGAGCAGAAAACTATATAACTTACTAAACTTCTTCTATTTTCCTTTGAAGACTTGATCAAGTTTAAAACAAAATCAATATATAGATTCCACATTTTTTCTGAAAATAGAAAAATAAAATGAATCATTCAGAAAGATAAATTTTTTTTATTTCCATATATTTAGTTTATGGAAATTTTACTGGCAGGGTTCCCATTCAATTCCAAAAATAAAAATGACTGCTTTAAGTTTTCCAAGAAAATGTCAACAATACTCCAAATTGCATTCTAGCTAATCTCTGTATTTTATTGTAAACATACATTTTTCAAATAAAAAGCACTGAAACTTTGTTTTTAATAGAAAATATGTCAACTATGCATTACATTTTGTAAGAAGCATATAGCCAAATGTATTAATTTTAATTACATAAGTACTAAAGGTCAAACATGTAGATTTTATAATACACAAGGAAACAAACTATAGATAAAAGTTACAACTTAATTTGTATAAGATGCTGAACTAACTTAATAACTCAATGTTACATACTTCAGTAATCCAGTTTTCTGGCCATTATATACATATTTTGCTTGTTATTAAGAACTAAAATTAATAAATACAGAAAGCTTAGTCTTTACAAACAATTATTGCCAACAAAGTTAGCTATATTATATTGCATAAATAGGTATATGAAAGGGGAAAAAAATTGATGCAAGTAATTGTTAAACTAAGAAGTTGTAATATTTTGTAATAATATTCATAAGCCTAAGAAAATTTAACCTGTGTTGCAATAAAATTTTAGCATGAATAGACTAATTTTTTTTAAAGACCACATTGGTTACTTATTGTTACTATGAATTTCAGGATTCCACTTATAGATTAAAGACATATTTGCAAAATTTTTATAGAACTTTTACAATTAAAACTAAGAATTTATAATGATTTCATTATAATATTATAAATCATTTGCATATATGCATTGACTGCAGCAGTCATAAATATTTATTATTCAAAACAAAATACTTAGTTATCATAAAAATACCTGTAGAGAGAGTTTTGACAGCCTCTTCATATTTTGAAAAGATTTCCTCGTTTATTCTTGATAATGTAACTTCTAGGAACAAAAATATAAAATAAGTAACAAATCAAATAAAATATATAATAAACAATATTAAATATATAAACTCTAATTTGAAATAATATAAACAAAATTAGGTTTTATAAGAAATGTATCATACAGTAGAATTTCAATTAAATTTATAATCATCTGAATTTTCTATTAGGCAGATCACTACAGTTCGTTACACAACTTTAAGACAAAGATACCTAGATAAGTCCTGGTCCTGACGAATTTAAATCGTAGTTCTACAGTACATCAGACCACTATTTACATAGTTGGAAATCAGCACACAAAAGATTGAATTTTCTTACATTTTAATTTCAAAAAGTCTTTAAGACTTCCAATCAATAAATATGCAGAAAAAGAAAAAAAATTATTTTAAATTTTGACCAAAAGAAGAATGCCAAAGAATTTAGTTGTCTCTTTAATTTTTAAAACATTATTAGAAATATAAGACTTTCAAATCATTTTAAAAAGATTTAAAAAATAAAACAAGTATAAATACCATATATAAGCAGATAATTTTTAGAAAAATTACAAAAACTAGTGGGGGAGGTCAACATTGTATACACGAACTCTAAAAAAATCTAGATTGACATCAACAAAAATACTTTACCTTTTGTTGACGAAAGGTCCATGCTTCTTTTACCCAATATGCAACCATTACTAGATTTACTACTGTTACTTCAAGAAGAATATTTTTATTTTCAAGGGTAGCATGCCTTATTATTTTCTTTTAAGGTTTCTTTTATGTACGAATTTTGAATTTCAGGTGAATGCATCTGCACAAGCAATATTAGTCATAGAATGTATGATTGAAACACAAGCAGTAAAAAGTTAAAAGTTAGTTCCTTCCTGTCACATTGAAAAAATTAACACAAGAAAGGGGAAAATATGCATCAGAAGATGTTATTTACAGAAATATGATTGATGTACAAAGAAATTGCTTAAACGAAAAATATATAATTGATGTTGCTAGGATCACTGATATTGTCAGTGATGTTAGGGAAATGCCTGGTGTTTTCACAGCTGTACTGTTGGCCCTTCAAGTAAATTGAACCGGCAGGAAGATATTGCGAGCAGAGTGCCTGGCTGACAGTAGATTAGCTGCATGGTCAATAAAAACAATCTTTAGCTTGAATTTTATTCGACTATTTCAAACAAGTAATAAAGTCCCAATAAAAGTAATAAGATCTGCCTTTATTGAGTAGAAAAATAAGCCTAAATTATATCCAAGAAAAACATTCACAAAAATGAAAGATACATAACCTCAGTGCATCAGCACTTTCTAGAAAAGGGGGACATTAAAAGGCGAAGATAAAAACACACATGTGTTAGTTGAGTTAAATTCTCTCGGAGTAAGAATGATGTCACGGGAGAAAGAAAAACCTCTGAGGAGAAAAAGCAAACATGTAGAAAGGATACTCCGTTTTTTATTTTTTTTTACAACATATACATCACTCCCTACGCCAATGTGATGCCAGCTTTGCAGCTGGTGGAACATCTTTGAACAACTCCTAAAACAATTTGTCGTACATCAATTACATCTTTTTCTTTTGAGCAATTCCTTTGTACGTCAACTATATTCCCACAAATAAAAAGTTTTCTGAAGCACCTTTTCCCATTCTTGAGTTAGTTCTTTAAACATGACAGTGAAAAGCTATCTATTAACTTCTTACTTATTAACTTCTCACTTGCTTCTTCCATCAAACAATTTATGAAAAATATTGCTAGCATAGATGTGATCTATCACCCAGTAGAGTTTTCCATCTTTCTCACACTCACCCTGCATATTCTTATACATACCTTAAATACATTCAAACATAGTGAAAAAATTATGCAAATCAAAATATATTCCAAACAAGCAATTACTTTTCTTTATCCCCTGTTCTTTGCCTTTCTTTATTTTGTCCTCTATGTGCAGTAAAGGTTGTTTTGCAAGAGCATCTAATGTTTCTTCTTTATCTGGAAACTTTTCTAAGACTCTGAAAATGAAACAAATCACTCACAGATCGTAACAAGGCAAGAAATAAACAATTTTATGAATTCAACTATCCTATAATAGTGTACTTATAAGTTAACAATGTAGATACCGAATTGGGGAGAAACAGGAATTTAAAATCGTATAACATTGGACTTAGTTAACTTTTAAGTGCTTCCAGCATTGAAACAGATCAGTATTTTCCTATTTTTACCGTATTTAGTGCAATTATTTAAAATGAATTATTCCATTGTTTATAATTTAATAAATTTATCAAGCATAAGGGGAAAAAAAAACTTTGTTTATAAGAGGGCAGTCTAAATTGGGAGAAATTTAATCAAATATTCCAGTGTTCAAGGAAAATTTCATAAAATGTCTCTCCATTACTAGACAACTGAAAAAAGTTTAATGAAATTCTTTGATTTTTTTTCTTATTATTATTGTTTCTCATTATTTTCTTACTTTGAATTTTTCCCTAGACTTTTATGGTTATATAATGATTATATATAGCCATATAATCCCTGTTAATGCTATGATAATACTTCCCCATTAATACTAGACTAGAAGCAAAATAGTGTGAGGAGAATTTTCCCCTAAACTGTGTAGAATATTTTATTGTTAGCAAAAGGGGGCCTGAGGGCTCTAAAGGAGAAATTGCTCTAAACTGCATCATGCATCACAAAACAGAAATGATTAATTTAGAAAGATTAATAATTCCCTGCATATTAATTTATGTTTAGAGGAAAACAATTAATTTCAAATTTCCTACAGAACAATTTCTGTCATAATCTTGTCATAAGTTGTAAATAATTTTTGTTTGTAAATAATTTTCGAGCAAAACAATTAATTTCAAACTTCCTACAGAACAATTTCTGTCATAATCTTGTCATAAGTTGGAAATAATTTTTGTTTCACAACGTAGGCTTTCATACATATGTTGAACATTTGTAATGATGAAAAATATTGTTGGTAAACAATTGATTTAATTCAACTCCTGGTTGTGACCAAAAATTTAAAACAAGCTTTTAAAAGTATAAATGAAGGTTTAAACAAATTTTTGAAATGATACTGGAAAAAGTAATATCAATCATTGAGTGGAGTATATTTAAGCAAAAAGGTAGCATAAAAAGATTCACAACAACAATTTCACATTTAACCCACAGATGGTTGTGTGCCAAGAAAATAAAAATTCACACTGCATTCTCTTCTACATAGCAAACTGTTTTTTGTCTATCTGATTAGCAAGGGATACTATGCAATAAAGAGGAACATTCTCTTAATCTTGAAAATACCAGAAGTCAAATGATTAAAACTTAAGAAGAACAAAGAATAAAGATGCCTAGGTAAAAATATCAAATACCTTAAATAACTTTTAAGATATTTGATAACTTTTAAGGCATTTGGTCTAATAATCGAATTGACAAGTACTAGGACTCAATCTTTAAAAGTTTGAGGACCTAACCTTAAAATTCCAATTAATTAGCCCAAATGATATCTTAATTTATGAAATCAGACCTACTTGCTCTGAATAAACATATATTTTCTTCAATTAATTGATTCATATTTTTGACCAGTTAAATATGGAGGTAGCAGCAATTCGGAATAGTTGATCAGGGAGAGGAAGAAAGTTTGGAATCTAAATGTTGATTTCAGTTTATGCATATTTTGATACATCTTTAGAACAAATAAAGGGAATCAAAACATTTTTGTGTATTAACGTGCTTACGCGACAATGTTTTGATACCCTTTATTCGTTCCAGATAAAGTTCTTTCTAAAGATAATTCCATGGAAAAATAAAAAATTTTCATTATTAATTTTAATAAACTAAAATTTAATTATAATTTATAAAAATCTTTTCACCATTTTTAACATACATAGTTTTAAAATACAAAATTTAAAGGGAATTACTCGATTTATTCTTGACAAATAAAAATTTTAAAACATCTGATAACCAAATGGAAGACATTTATCTTTGTAATCATAATAGTCAGTATTTTGCATTTTATATAATAAAACAGGCAAACAAAGTTCTTTTTTTTTTTTTTTTTTTTGAAAAAAATGTAAAAGTGCCAGTTTTTCTTGTAATACAAAGTGGTTATTCAAAATATCTGAAATGTTAATTCTCCATCCGCTTTTAAGATGTTTTTTAGTTTAATCTTTCTAATAATACTTTTTGCTTTAGCATCATAATGTATATTATGTAATTTAGCTGAAATATGGAGACACACTAATTAATTGGTTAAAAGAGTCTATGATGGCTGTAAATATAAAACAATAACTTATTTTGTTAAAATAGCAAAAAAGCTATTTTTATTGTATTTTAAAAATTTTCTTACTTTTCAAAAATGTGTTCAATATGTTTTGCAGTAAAATCAAATTCTAAGCAAATCTGAATGAATGATAAAGCAAACTCCACATCATCTAGAAGAAATGTATATAAAAAAAAAATTAAAAATACCAAGAATAAAAGTTTTTATTCATAGTCTTATCAATAAGACTGTAACATTTCATCTTTATTTATATAGTGTAACAGAGGATGTTAATAAATATAATAATTATTATTGCTTAGTTACATATAATAATTATTATTGCTAGTTTATGTAGCACTACTACATTACATTGAATCAAACATAACACACATTAAAATAAAAACTTTAAAATTAATAAAGCTAAATACCAGAAAATATGAACAAAAAATATTTTTCTGATAAAATGTTTTCAAACTTTTAAATAAGTAAAAAGTTTCACAATACAATTGGTTTTCTATTTACTAACTTTAAAGGGAATGGGAAAACCCATCATTATGTAGAGTGTGTGCTTAAGTAGAATTTGTGTACCATTTCCTCCTTTTTTTTTACATAAAATAATTGTTTTTAATATATTTTAGGGCATACGATGATGGCTAATTATTACAGCAAACTTATTATTTTACAGATAACAATACAATCGAGAATTTAAAAATTACCTCAAAAATTAAGAAGAACATACATTTAAATATCACAATGTTATTAAATTTAAAGGTCTATTACCATCTATTTCCTCAATAGCTTTGTCAAATACAACGTTAGGGATTTTTCCATTCAAAACTACATCATCTTCTTCTAAATCAGGATCCTATAACAGTTAGAAATATATGTAAGTAATCAACAATGAATACAAATTAACCTATACATCAAGATTAAAAATATAATGCAAAAAGGAAAATCACGACATTTTAAATGATGGAAGGGAAATAAAATTCATACCTCCATTTTTTGTAGTTGAAGCACTTCTCTTCTTTTACGGATCTAAAATAACAAAAAAATGAAACAAAATTAGTAATAAAAACAAACAGTATATAAATCAGCTTTTTTTTTCTTTTTGTAAAAAAAATAATTGAATTAAATCAAAAATTACTAAATTAGTGTGAAAATAGTGTCTTTCATATATAAAAATAATTAAAAGAAATAATGGTTTCTCACTGTCATAAAGATCTTATTTTGAAATAGCAGATATAATTAATTTATTATAGAATTTAATTTTGTAAAAGGGAAAATGAAATATTTTAATAATCCATGCATAACATTTATTAATTTTCAAAAAAAAAAAAAAAAAAAAATTAACATAGCTTTTGTGATATGTTGTTTACCAAATTTTTATATCATACTATATCAGTGATTTTCAATTAATTGGTAATGAATTGCATTGATTTAATTTGGTTATTTTTAATATGGTATTATTGCAAGCTTAATTATAAATTAATCAATAATTATAAATTATTTGAGAGGCATTATTTTAATTTAATTACTACCTTTATATGTAATTCATGTGAGTAATTTGTTCCAGGTATTTTAACATAACTGTTTGTACAATATAATGCTTAAAAATATTCTTAAATATTTGAATTAGTGTTGAGAGATGGATATGTATTTAGTCTGATTGTTAGCTGTTTAATTTTCAACTGTTTTCTTATTTTTTCACTATTATATTCCTTTTGTTCCCTTTTATCTAAGTGGTAAGCTTTTAAAGCTTATTTCTCACTGGTCAGCAATCTTGAAGCTGCCTGTACTTTGTTAAAAAAAGGAAAATTTATAAAAGTAATAGAAATACAGTTTTAAATTTAAACACTGAACTAATGAATTAATTTTTCCACACCAATTAAAAATTTTCCTCAAAATTGAAAAATTTTAAAAACTTTTATTGATTCTATAGACTTAACTAAAAATCTGTAATTGAAAAAGGTTAAGTAAAGCATTCCTGCAACAGCTCGTAATGAGTCAGGAGAAGTTCAATACCTGATGAAATAAATCTTGGAAAAATTAAAACAAAAGTTTTGTATTAATGTAAAAAGCAACGGAATTATATTACATTACAATAAAACAGACAATCCCCACAGAGCTCGTAGTAAGTATAAATTCCAATTAACTGAGAAATAAGTAAAAGGCTTATAGAATAATTGCATCTGTGAGCATTAAAATGGATAATATATTTATAACTAAGAAAAACAAAAATGATTAAAAGGAAAACAATAAAAAAGTTCCAAAAAAAATAATAGAAAAATTTTTACCAGATCTGTATACATCAGTTCCATTCGAAAATACTGAAAACAAAGAGTTCACAATAAATTAATAATGCGAAATGCATATTATGACTGTAGAAAGTTTACAGTGGAATGGAATGTGCAATTACAACCTTCGTTAACAACTTATGTTTAAAACTTAATTGTATATTACTTCACTAAGTTCTTTTTAAAGAGAAACATTACTTTTAACTGCATCCTTTAATCTTATAAATTCTTTAAAAGCTATATATTTACCTTTTAAATAGATAAATAAAAAGGGAACAGTAATTTAGATTTTGAAAAACTCAGCAAAGTCGAAAAGTGGTTGATATCAGCCACTTTTTGACTTTGCCGAGCTTTGATTTGAGCATATACGAATTGTTTAAATCATGTGGATATAAATCATGTCGCATGATTTTTAAATCGTACGAATTCAGATCAGATTTGATATTTTAAATCACAGGAATGCAGATCACGATGTTTGATCATGCGGATATAAATCACGTGAGATTTTTAAATATTGTGACGAAAATATCGACGTGTGATCTTTAAATCCTACGAATTCAGATCGCATTGTGTGATTTTTTAAATTGCACGAATGAGGATCACAGAGTGTAAATTTAAAGTAATATGAATACGAAGCACAATGCATGATTTTTTAAATTGCACGAATATGATCAGATTACATTATTTTCAAATCGCATTCGTACAGATTACAATGAGCAATTTTTAAAATAGTACAAATGAAGTTCACAACTAATAATTCTTAAATTGCACAGCTATGAAACACGTGGTGGGATTTTATAAATTGCACAAATGTGGATTGCGATATGTGTTTTTAAAATCTGTGAATACAATTTGCAGTGCGTGATTTTTAAATTGAACAAATACTGATTATGATGAGTGATTTTTTAAACCACATATATGCGAATCATGATGTGCAATTTTAAATTTCACAAATACCGATCGAGATGTATAATTTTTAAATCATGTAAATACAAACCCCAATTTGTGATTTTTTAAAAAGGTCACGACGTGTGATTTTTTAAAATCGTACGAATATGAATCGCGATGTCAAATTTTTAAATCATGCGAATACAAATTGTGCTACAGGATTTTTAAATTGCGCTACAGGATTCAGGGCTTCAATAGCCAAAATCTATAATGAACCAGGTCTTTTCATGATTTTGCAGCACTTATCACAGCAAATCATGACTTTCCACGACAAATATCGATCAAGGTTGAAATCCATGAGTTAACTCCAAGTGTCAACCAAACTCTGTCGGCAGCAGCAAAATAAATAAATTAATAATGAAAAGAAAACAGTATACTTCTTTTCAGAAACTATGTGCATTTATTTCTTAATCACTTCGTATATCTAAATCTAAAATAAAATATTAATGTATTGTTAGAATAATTTCCTAAACTTACTTCACGCCACAAAATTTTTGCCTTTGAATTTATCAAAACACCTCGCTGCAAGAGTTTCCTGGCATTCTCAGGTGATTTAGATTCTTCAAACTCATATTTTGCAGCCATAACCCATAAATCTGGTAAAAAATTATTTATTTAATTATCCTTTAGAAAAATAGCCATAAACTACTACTATTACAATATTTTTGCGATACTTACTAGGAACTTTTGAGTGAACTTTCAACATCTGAGTATGAAGAACATTAATGTTGTCATACCATTTCTGCAAATAAAAAAAGTAAAATAATTATAACTAAATGAATATTATATATAAACTTTGGTCTGCATAACTTTGCTGAAACTCTTTTTTTTTAACTTTGTAACTGTTAACTGGAAACTAAGTTCAAAATAAGACCTGCTTTATACATAATGAGTGATTTTTTTCTCTCATTTAGTAAGCCTACATTTCCTTATTTAAATGCTATTTTCAACTAGCAAGCAATCAATGGAAAAAGCAAAATTAATTAGATCAGTGTTTGGATGTCAAAAATTTTCGAAATTTTTTAAAACTTTTTTTGTATTTAGGAATTATAGTAATTGTTCACTTTTCAGAATTAAATATATTTCAGATTTAAAATTTAAATATATATCTTANAAAAAAAAAATTAAAAAAAAAAAAAAAAAAAAAAAAAACAATTTTAAGAATTAATACGTGAGTATCAGCTAAATCCCAACGCTTCACTAAACATATAATGACCCTTCAAATCTCTTCTTTCAATTAAGTTTTTGACTGAACTCAGGGAAATGCATACAACTTTCCTTTCTGAACATCTTGCTTATTAAAATAATTCTCAATGCAAATTAATGCATTTGAAACAAACTAAAATATGACATTAAAAAAAAAACAGATAATTATATCATAATTTCTAAAAATATTATAATTACAGTATTAATTAATTTGCAGTTACACATACCATTTTCTTGCAAAATTGAATTTGATCCAAACGTAATTTCTGATCATCAGGAAAACGGGATATTACTGCCTATAACACAAATGAAAACAATCTTAAGTAATTTACTCCAATAAATTTATCATAAATTCGTATAAATTCTGCTGAAAAACAACAGTATGATAGAAAACGATTGATAGGCTAGGCATAAGAATAAGTTAAGTTCAATTCAGATTCGCATGTAACTGGAGAGAGCAAAATGAAATCAAAAATGGAAATAAGTTTATGTAGTGGAAAAAGCAATACAATATGAATAAAGCACAAATAAAGGTACAGAAATGGGGAAGTAAAACTATGTGAATAAAACATAAATAAAGGTACAGAAATGGAAAAGTTAACAATGCACATATAAATAAACGGAAATGATAAGATACAATTTATGCTACGTTCATACATAGCATAAAGATACAATTTGTGCTTTATTCATACATAGCATAAAGTATACCCTATATTTAACACAGAGGGGGGGGGGAGATTGATGTTACATAATCCGTGCTTAATAAAATTGAAACAGCATTATTGTAAATTAAAATTTCATTAAAAATGAATTCTTATACTAAGCACATCAAATATAAGAATAAGTAATCATTAAAGATAAACTTGTAAAAGAAGAAAAAGAATAATATAATTGATTAATTCAAAACAAAATAGATGCTTAAAAATGTTCAGAAAGGGGTGCTGAGTGCAAGATTTTGTTTTTAAAAAGCATCATCCTTGAGTGATGCTACAACAAATGTTCATGATCAAGAATGAAAAAGTTCCTCATCAGTCATGCTTAAAACAGCTACCTTTTAAAATTCCATTTTTTTATATGTACTTTAAGTTCTCTTTCTCATTTTAAATTCACGAAAAATTAAACATAAAAATATAACAATAATTAAAATTGATTCAATACTTTAAACTTAGAAGTTGATGTTTAAAATAAATGATAAGCAAATTTTTATGATCAACAGACTACCAACAAAATTTTATAATCAAAATACGTACATTGAACAATTTACTGATTCTCTTTGCAATCTTGATATCAATTTCTTTCTTTTTAGATTCACAAAGTAACCTCTGGAATAGTAAACAAAAATCAAGGATTATGTATCAAAATTTTTAGAAGATTAAAATTTTGATTTATAAATCAATCAAATTTTAAATTCCTAAAAACACTATGAATAGAAAAGCTTAAACTATCCTAGAGGATAAGCTCAATGAAATTATTAAACATAATTTCAGTATAATTAAGTACAATTTCGATAAAAATTACTGTAATCCACTATATGCTATGCAATATTTGATAAATAACATGTCTTTTTAAAATTTTGTGTCCCTGATTTTAGTGCCCAAATAATCGATATATATATATTTCTCTTACACGGCGACAAAAAAAGCCTCATTAGAACTCCCCGAATGGCAACGCTAGAAAATCGACCAATGATCGCCGCTAAATATTTCACATGCCAAATCTAGCTGAGATGGCTCAACATATAGCGCTTTTAAAAACGGAAACTGAAATAACCAGAGAGAGCATAAGCTAGGCAGAATTGAGTAGTCTTTGTTGATAGATCTCCATTTTAGTATTTTGTCGAAAGAGCTTTTTTCCCGAATTTATATATCACAAATTTATTTGTTTTACTAGAATTTATTTGTTTATGCAGGTTTTTCCATTGCAATTTACTTATTTCAATTTTTAATAGATTTAATTATAGCCAAAATTTTAACCTTTTTAAAGAGATATCAGTTTTAGAAATTTTATCTNTCAATCAGGCATAAAGGCGTGGCATGCTGATTGGGTTCTCTTTATTTTTTCTTGTGTGACTAAAGGGGATTCTCCCTCCACTTTAACATTTGCTGTGTTTACCCTTTTTCACAGTATTTCTTCTTCCCCTGACACTCAAATAAAAAGGTTCCTGGAAATGCCTCCTTTACTAGCCAGCTGCATAGGAAAAAAGGGGGAGGGAGGGGAATCAGTTGTGCTCTTTTGAAAACAAATCTCCCCTCCCCCTTTCCTGCATTCTAGAGGAGGAGCGTCATGGTCTTAGTAGATCTTCTGTTCTCTTTTCTGTTGATTTATGGGTTCAATGCATAGATCTCTAGAAGCTGAGAAGGGGAAAAAAAGACTTCGTTTTTTTTTCTTTAAAGGAGAGGGGAAGATGAAGAAATGTTTGTTTATTTTGATTGTTAAAAAGTGTCCGGGAAATCGACCCTACCGGAAAAGGGACATCCGGATATGAGAGGTTACACTGTAGTACAAGCGAGCAAAATTTGCAGGTTTTATATTTTGAAATGCCATTAAAAAAGTTAACTATTCAATAAAGAAAAGTAAAAGTATGACTTCTGAAATTTTTTTATTGAGGGATTCTCACAATATCTACGAAACTCTAATGATTTCTGATTCTGAAATACGTTTTTCCAAATTAAGCACTGAATATAGTGAAGCAGGAGGCTTCAGTCAAGCAATTTTGGTCCTGAAAACATTTTTTCCTTTGCCATTTCTGTTTTTCTCTTTCAGATATTGAAATTTAAAAATTTTTACAATGTACGTAAAACATTTTAATGTTATGTAATGATCCTTATTTCTATTTTATTAATTTTTGGTCAATAAAAATTAGCCGCTTTTCAAACATTTTATTTCTTCCAAGGAAGGAATTGTTTAAATAATGTTAAATAATTGCACCATGTGGAGGTATTTAGCACAGCAATCCTTATTTATTTATTTACTAAACTTAACAATCATATACGATTATATATGATACATATTATATAATATGTAATTAGATAATTAACCCCTTAAAGATCGGTTAATTTTCAAGAAAACGATCATAAAAGCGCCTATTTTTTTAGCTTTTGTATTACATACTTGATTAGCGCAGCAACTAGTTTAAAATAAACTAACTATCTACAATTACCTTAAAAATATCCCGTTACTGCCATCATGTGTGTAAAAGGAGAAATAAAAATCCGGGCAAAAGAAATTAATTAGTTTTATTCTTATTGGAGCGTTACTACAGAACACTCCAGCCCGTCAATATCACGGGAGCAAGAAATAGCGGGCGAAAATTCACCCCGTAATTTTCACGGGAGCGAGAAGGAAGGGGTTAATGTAACTGCATAAATAATGGAAAATTATTCTGAACTTCACATATTTGGGGGAGGGAAGTTGTTTCCAACCAACATCCACACTGATAGAATGGGAAAATCTCCTCCTTCCCATTAATATTTTTTAAATACTTTAAAAATACCATTAAAAATTCCTGATTTTCTGTCACTGGAAATAATAAATAAATATTTAATAAACCAAAAAAATTATATTTAAAGCCATTAAAACATAACCACTGTAATAAAAAAAATTTAGAAATGAGATGGAATGTTTATATCAAAATAGACCAATCGAATTAGTAATGGGACTTAATCAGGAAGGGAACAAACAACGGGTTCGAAGTGTCATCTACTGGAATGGAATACAGATACCTAATTTTTATTCTTAGAAGACTATATCTACGATTTGACACAAATCTCACAAAAACTTGGAAGAAAAGCTTCATGGAAACTAATGCCTTTTATGCTCTTTCTGATATTGTAGCATTTTAAGATAATTTAAACTATAACATTTGAAATGCCTGTAGAACCTAAATATCTAATAAGACTTCACAGTTCAAAGAATTGGATAATTCTCCAAAGCAACACTTCGAAAAAAGTTGAATTTTGATATAGTTCTCATAAGTTAAAAGTTAACATTAAAAAAGAATTTAAAGTAATCAAATTCATTTAGTACAAGATGAAGTGAAATAAAGATAGTCGATTTATCATAGTATAGATAGTCTATTTATCATAGCATAATCATGAAGCACATTAAATGCTTCAAAAATAAAAAAAATGATAAATGATGTCTTTTTAATAATCTTGCCCTTCAGATATTTTATTCAAATACCAAAAATCTAATTCAAATGAAAAGAATTACATGATAAACAAAGACATAAATAGCATAAAAATAAAAAGAATTTTTTATCACTTTCAATTTTCAACAAAAAAAAAACAAAAAAATCAGTACCACACTTCAAAATTTACTCTTATTTACATAAATATATAATATTTTAAAATTATATTACAAACTGTACAAAAGTTTCAAATGATAAAAAGAAAAAAAAAGAATGGTGGATTTTACAACTTACATCCCTTCTCTTGGATATAAGACTCAGGAGATTCATTTCATACTGAAAAAATTGATAAATAAGTAAATTAAAAACAAACTAATTAAATAGACTTTAATTAAAAATGATAAACCTAATTTATAAATTAGAGCAAATAAAGTCCGCGAAAATAATTTAAGAACCTTATGTTAAATAATAAAATTAACTTGCAAATTCATCTTTTTTGGTACTGAACGTTCTACCATTAATATGCACAGTATGTAAAATAAATATACATAAAATAATTTAAAAAAAAAAAAAACAGAAAACCTTTACACCTTTTGATGTAATGATCAAATTATTACTTACAAACATACAATCTCAATTAACTTGAAATGCACTAATTAATTATAAGACAAATTTTAATGAATAATATCAGACACAAATAACATACTTTCTCAAAATAAACATAGATATTACTGATAGAGTCAGATTTTAGACCTTCATACAAATAAGGGAAAAATAAATAAATCACAATCTAGAAAATATGGCTCTAATAGTTTAATTAGTAGAGCAGTCAAAAATTTAAAAATATATTCATTTTTCCAAATCAAAAGAATTTTGCAAACAATAGTTTAACTAGTTTATTCGCAGATTTAGATTATTAATTAGTAAATTTAGCAATGGTTCAAAAAAATCTGAACAATATATAATACAAATTTTTACCACATTTTAAAATATGTATTTTTAAATGACAAAACATTAACGAAATCGACCAAATGCTAACTAAACTAAAGTAACTAAATTTTAAAAAAGTCGCACTTAAAAATATTCCTTAAGAATCATTTGACCGATTTTGTTCAAATTTTAGTTTTTGTCAATTATTACTGACATAGTTTACTGACATAGTTTTGTCAAATATTACTGACATAGTTTAAAACCATGTAAAAAATTCTTTACTTTGCAATATGAACGTTTTTTAAACATAAAAATCAAAATTAAAAAATAAATAAATGAATCAAAAATCATAATTAAAATCCAGTAATAAGATCAAATCATTAATAAAATCACAATCAAAATTTTAAAAAATTATAATTAACTAGAAAATGAGTTTTATAATAACATGAACATATCTTTAATTTCTAAAATATTTAAATAAATTTTAAAAAAAAAACAATAAAATACAAAAAGTCAAATTAGCATTAAAGGACTCAAACTTTTGATATAAGATTAGCTCTTTGAGACATTAAGGCATCTTATTATTTGACCATCAAATTAACATATAACAAAAGTTACCAGGGAGTTTTACAGTCAATTCGCTATAACTCGAAGTACGATAACTCGAATATTACTATAACTCGATTTTTTTATGAGGTCCCGACCCTTTTATATTCAATTTCATGTTAATTATTCTCGATTACTCGAATTTTACTTCCTTTAACTCGGATTTTGTTTTGGATCTTTTAAAACAAAAACAAAAAACAAAAAAAACCTAGGAGCTGATATCTTGCCCCTTCCTTTGCAGCACACACACACACAATGTCTTTCGCAGTCTTCATGGAGAAGCTAAAGCTGTCCCTCTTGAAGTATGGGAACAGTGGTTAAATGAAATGTTACCAAATTTACTTCAAGGATACAGTTAAAATGATGTTTTCAATATTGATGAAATGGGTTTATTTTTTAAATGTCTTCCAAATAAGACTATGATGTTTAAGGATGAAAACTGCTCAGGGGGTAAAATGAGCAAGGAACGTTTGACTGTCCTAGTTGGAGGAAATGCGTCTGGGACAGAGAAATTGCCCTTACTTCTTATCGGAAAATACCGAAATTCCCGATGCTTCAAGAATGTAAAAACGTATCCTTTGGATTACAAGTATAACAAAAAGTTTTGGATGACATCAGTTTTATTTGAAGACTATGTAAGAAAAGTGGATCGGGAATTCTTTGCTAAAAAAAGAAAACTGATACTCTTTATGGATAAATGCATAGCGCATAGTGATCAACCTAATTTGAAAGCAGTAAACTTGCAGTTTCTCCCGCCAAACACAACAGCAAAGTTGCAGCCAAAGGACCAGGTTATCATAAAGTTCTTCAAACAGTCTTATCGTAAATGACTTGTCAGAAAAATTATCTTAAATATTGTAAGCAATTAGAAGATTTGTAATTAATAAGCATTAATTAAATAANAGTTTAAAATATTTAATCTAACCTCTTTACAGGATAGATGTAAGACAGAATTTTAGCATAGATCTTTTGACAAATGTTAACGATTATCATCATAGTTAAATGCATGAATGGATTAAATAAAAATAAATTTTATGGAAAGAGAAATATTATTTAAATACATTAATAGAAACTCACTTCAATATATTTTAAGAAGTCTTCTTTTCTTTTAAGATTACGACGAAGCTTGTATTCAAAAGCTTCCCGTTTTTTCTTTATTTTTCTGCAATAAAAAATTAATCAATAATAAAATAAATGTAGAAAATGATTATTATAATGAAATAAACATACAGTAATGTTATATTAATTAGCGTACATAAGCTTAAAAAATTATTAAGGTTGAAAGTTGGTATGCTTTCGAGCACTTAAAAATTTTATAGCATTTCCCTTTCAGTTTTTTGGAATTATTCATTTCAAATGCTAAACTTCTTTAAGTATATATTTACACTATGAAACTAATATGATAAATAAATTGGCCAGGTTTCAGAAATTCTGCAACTTGGAAAGAATTTGATACTGAGACATGACAATCAGACAGACTCTGCTAAAACGCAACACTGAACTCAGCAGTTGACTTATACATCCAACGTAGGGATTAACGAATATTCGGCCACTATTCGGTATTCGGCCTTCTTGCCGAATATTCGGCCTAGCCGAATACTGAAGTTATTCGGCCGAATAATGAAGTATATGCTATTATTAATTATGCTGCTATTATTATTTATTTAGATTTGTGAAAGCCTTATAGTTGGCATCAAGATATTTAAAATATTACAAAAAATACATCAAGTTGTTAAATTTTTTTTGAAATATAGAAAGTTTAAAAAAGAAAATTTGTTAATATTTATTTCATTTTTAATTTAAAATTTGAGAATTATTTAATTACAAAATTAAAATTTCAAAAGTGAAACTTTTTAAAAAGTTCTTAATTTTCTGAGTTTTAATAATTTTTCTGACAAAAAAGAAAGTTAAGAATACATTTAACAGTAGTAAGTAATGAGTTCTTATCCCCATATTAAATAAAATAGCATATAAATTAAAAGTATAACTATAACTAAAATATGCTATTATTAATTATTTAGGTTTATAAAAGCCATATTGCCTTGTTATTGGCATCAAGATATTTAAATTATTACAAAAAATAAATCTAATTGTTGAAATTTTTTTAAATATACAAAGATTAAAAAAGCAATTTTGTTAATATTTATTTCATTTTTAATTTTAAATTTGAAAATTACTTTAATTACAATCAAAAGAGAAATTCTTAAAAAGTAAGTATTCGGCCCCATCATTATTCGTTACATCACTAATCCAACGTACTATAAATTTGCTATCCTGTAATCAAAAATATGAGGTTGCCTCATATACTGATATATACAATAATAGTTTTGTACCTTTTTTTAATGTATGTTGATCTAAAGACGTTTAAATATCTTTTTGTTGATAACAATATTGTACTATTATAGAAAATATTATTATTGTATTACAGAAAATTTAGGAACAAATTATTTACCGAATTTCTTCAGGTGAAAACAGTCCAACTCTTCCCATTTCTTCAAGCTCAGGGAGAGTTTGCTCAAGACGTAAGTGCACACGCTCTGCCATAATTTAAATATTCTATAGAATATAACATAAAAATTATGAAAAGAAAATTTAGAAAATACATAATACATGTAATTTTTAAAAACAGGAAATAAAATTAACAAGTCACAAAATCATTTTTGTATCAATTTACTAATATGCATGGGAAATGTTAAGGATTATCAATAACTAATCTCAAAAATTAAACAAGGAGAATTTTAATGAAAATAAATAAGAGATTTTACAAATTTAATTCACATAATCTTAATAGGAGAGTAAACAGCTTTTTCTTATGGGTGTGATCAGGAAAACTGAATAATTTAATAATCCTGAGCAGAAAATTCCCACTTTGTAATAGACTGGTACAAAGAAAAAAACAGACAGCGCAGTAATAAATAAATAGAAAATGAGAAATTATAATTTGTGGTATTACTTAATTAAAATACTTCATTTGCTTCAAAAATATACAAATTGGAAATAAGTCTACATGCTTTGAGCCTTGGCCACCAAGCTTTGAGCACTAAAAAACAGTTGCTCACTTTCAAGACTTGACGTGACAGGCATGACATCGATAATCAGATCTGGTAAGTCTTGAAAATGGAGAGCTATCTTTGAATGCTCAAAATATGTTGACCATTATTTTCAATCTGTATATTTTTGAAGCAAATGAAATTTTTTTTTATTATCAAGTAATATCTTATCATTTCAGTTTTCTGCCCTTATTCATTTAATATGCTTTATGGGGTACATTTTAAAATAGACCAGACAAATTAAGTTTTTAGTAAACTGCAGAAGAAGACTACTGACTTTATTTTTATTTTTTTTGTCTAACGGAGGTGGACAATATAAATGATTTTTTTTAACATTTATTTTAGTGTAAGTGTTGATTTAAGGAAAAACATAGAGCATTTTCTTTATAGAGCATATTTCTTTTATTTATTTGAATACATAATTTTAGTCACATGTAACCAGGCATGTATATTATACATGTAAAAAAATCTGTTTGTAAAAAATTTGTCATTATCACAAAAACTTTTACAGCTTTACAAATGATTAAAAAAACAGTCAAAAGTATATTTGACTTTCAGACATTGAAACTTGAACAGACACCAGTGATTTTTATATAAATATTCACTAAATGTTTGCATTGAAATGTTTCTGAGGTATTTAAATACACAAAATAAGCAAAGTATAAGGAAAAACAAGGTAAGTCAATGACTAGTTTTATGACATCAAAAAACTGCTAAATTTAAAGAAATATACATGGATGTATAAGAGCTGATAAAACATAAAAACAGTTTAAAAAAAAAAGATTTTCAAACAAATTTTGTTTTTAAGAAAAAAGATAAACAGATGAAAGTGCAGAAACTAGTAACAATAGTCAATCAATTGTTTTCGGAAAGTTTTTTAATTAAAATTTTGTGTTCGCAGAAAGTTTTTAATTTTTTCTAAATCTACATGTAACATACAATATTTAGTTTAAAATATTTAATCTAACCTCTTTACAGGTATAAAAAATTATTTTTCGCATCGATTACAAGGATGCCTATTCCTGATGTAACATAACTGCAGAGAAAAGATTGGAGTTATTTCCGTATCAATGCCTGTTTTCACCGATTTCAATCGGCAATGCTCCAAAGAATTTTGGTACTGGAAAAGAAATATGAAGTGGTTTGCCCAGTGGTGGTTACTAAAAAAAAACTTCACAGAACTAAAAATTTGCTTGCTAGAAGCATAAAGGTTGATACCTGTGTTGTGACTTGATGGTCTTTTGAAATTCGGAAATTGTAGGATATAACGGAGCTCTAACATTTGATTGTGCACTTATTTATTTGAGTAACTGCTTAATAACTTATTTTATTTCAATTCAAATTTTTGAACCGGGCAAACTCGTTAGAACTTTCTTAATCAGCAAGAAAGATTAACTTTTCCACATTACATTTTTATTTTTATTTTACTGGCAAATGAAAATAATTCTAAAAATATAAGATTATTACAAGAGTGGTTCTTCTAGTTTGAAGTTACTGTATTCAAAAGCAAGGAGTGGATGGAGCGATGTCTTCCTAGGTAAATTTCAGAAAAATAAAAATATTATTAAGAATGAATAAAATTTTAAAAACTATAAAAATTTACTACAACACCGAAGATCTAAAAAATATGATATATTTTTTGTTATTTTCCTTAACAAGAAAAAAAAAATTTTTTTTTCAAACTACTGTAATGTTTGGAAACAAAAAACTGTACACGAGGAAAATTGTATTGCCATCAAAAAGTATTAAAAAATGCATTACTTAAGGATCATTCTCACTCGGATGTAGAAAAAAGTAGGATCCATTCTCGCTTTTGCAAGAATTCGAGGGCATGAATGAATACTTGATTGGTGGAAAGTATTTACTGTTGAAAACAAGCCAATAAAACTCTAGTTCACAATATCAGTGCTCGGATACGCTTTTTGGGAAAAGGTCGTTTCCATGTCTCAACCTTCCCTCAGTTGTATGGGAATATACTACGATATTTTTCTCTTCAATAAAAATTCCGTGATGCTTTCTTTAAGAAAAATGCTTAATGTTTTTTTTTTATAGTCCGATATAGATTCCTGTCTTAACTTTTTTAATCTATTTGATAATCAAGACAGAAACTAACATACTTCTTTCCCCCATGACTGTCCACACTCTAATGGGAGGTGAAAGCATGTGCAGTGTTGCCATAGTAAAAGAGTTGCTCAGCTACATCAGTAACCCATTTCGATCACCGATACAAATTTTTTTGTAGGCGAAAAATTGTATCCAGTTAGAATGGCCCGATTCGCGTTAAGAATATCCCGCACACAGTGAGCATACTAGTCCTGTTGCAGTTCAATGGAGCTGTATGAGTTGAGTTCAGTGCCTTCGCCTACCAGTATTGTATCTCTGGATCGATTCCCTATGGACTCTAATGTAATGCATAAATCCACGTGAATGCAATGCACTGCATCAGATTTATCAAGGTAAATACTTTGTATTGACCAGATTTTTAATTTCGTCTTCAAAAAAAATCATGTTGAGCAGCCGTGAAATGCTCATGTAGAATTTTCATATTAAAAGGCATTATTTATTTTTGCAGAGAAATGTTCGTTAGTGTTGATTGGGGTCAAATAATGACTTTTTAGGACTGCAATAGGGCGGCTTAACCTAGCTTTCATATGTAAGGACTCAATTTAAGTATCTTTTAGATGCCTAAGTTGAACAACTGTGGAAAAGAATGTATACACCAGACCCCAAAAAAAATTAAGAGATCCATTGTACACTTGCTCAGTGTGAAAAAACTTTGTTTAATAAGAAATATAAAAGCGTAATGCGGCCAAGGAAGTGAAATCGCCATTTGAGCACTGTCATAGTCTTAATGTTGGTTAATAAAGTCTATTTGTTTTTTCAATGTTAAAGAAACGTAGAACGAAGTGAAAGAAAAAATGTGCTGACAGTGTAGAGAAGAGTTCGAACAATAGAAATGCAGTTCACCAGTCGGATGCTTTAACGATAATAGAAAAAGAGTATGCCTCCTGGAAGTTCAAAAGCTAAGCTTCTTACCCAGGGTTAGTTAAAATGTTTTCATGCTTAAAAATTCTTTTGGCAGATTCAAATCTTATATGCATATGCGAGCAGCTAATCAAACTGAAAATAAAAACGCCGGCGTTAAACGCAGAAATTTAGTTTATTTCGGATTGCCTAACGAAACCATTAATTATTTAAAGACATAATGTACAGACTGATCGAGATTTTGTCCTCTGCTCATCAACACAAATTTCATTACTAGTGTGACATAGATGTGAAATGAAACAAAACTAATTTGAAGACGCCACTTAATGCCCCATTCCGTTTTTCATAAACATTAAGGTTTAGTCTTGTTGAAGCAAAGAACTGCATTGAAATGAAGACTTTCTCTATTAAAAGACTCATGCCCTCTAACAAATTTTAAGGAAAAGAGTACAACGAATATGTCCAGCTTACCTGCAGATCCAAAACTATTAGTGCGTAAAAAATCTGGTTGAACTAGTACTAAGGTTGTTAAACTCTTATTTTTTAATATATATTTTAGCTGAGACTGCTGTCTCTTATCTTTTCATATTTCTCGTAACCCTTTTAACTTCAAACTACCGGTAAGGGATTTCCTCTTATGTATGAACTTAAATTTTTCTGTTCCCACCATAGGATAAGATCTCTACATTTATTAAGCTGAAATCTGTGGAGTATCAATAGCTAAAAGATTGGTTATAGAGCTACATAATGTAATGCAATCAACATTGGAGTGTGGATGAACTTAACTTTCAGAGGAAAATGCCAAGTGAAAATTGATTAGACTAGTTTTGACTGAAAATTAAAAAAGTTTTTTCCAAAAAAAGGAAAGGAAAAAGAAAAAACAACAACTTGAACCTAACAAAAAGTTTTAAACAGGGATGTGGAGTCTGAGTCTGTAGATTTTTGGGTAAATTGAGTCGGAGCCATTATGTCGCTACAAACAAGCCTACTCCAACTCCAGTTTTTTTTGCCAGTTCGAATTAAGAATGAAATAAAACCAATTTAAAAAAATAATAAATAATGACAAACTGAGTTATTTTTATTAATCAACAATATAGATTAATAAATATTTAGTTATTTTCTATTTTATTGACATATTAATAAATGAGAAAAAGGAAACTAGTTTGCTAGACAATGAGATCTTGCTGGATTCAATATATGTAGTTTCAATGCATTTAATTTTGTTTGATGGCGAACAAATTTAAAAAAGCAAACAAAGCCATATATGAATTTATACTAAGAATGAAAGTATTCTCAGAAAGACTGCAGACATTGCAACTGAGTATCCATCAACGTCTTCCAATGATGAATTTGATTTTGAGAAATATTTGGATAGTTTTGAAAAGGCTGAGGCAAAGTGAATGAAAATAAATAACCAAGAATTTAGATATAAAAATTAAAAACAAGTTTCGACATAGCCCTTGAAGAAATATGATTGTTCCTGGAAAGTGCCTCTTTTAGAACCTATACAAATAAATCTATCCTGAAAAGTTAAAATAAGCAATCCTAACAGTAATGCTCTTCCTCCAGTTCAAGTTAGAGACAGCTCTGTGGTTTATCAAATTGGAGTTACAGTCCTCAGTCAAAAAAGATATAGCACAGCTATATTGTTTTTTAAAAATTACTAATGCCAGTTTTTCCATTTCACAATAAATGCGAATTAATATAGATAATCTGCTATACCATAAATTTTTTTTTCTGTAGCATTTATTATTTCTTTTATATTAAAAAATAAACAAGTTGTAATGTATATGTGTTCACACATAGAGGGAATCTGTGTTTTTAAGTTTAAAATTCCAGAACTCATAATATGCTATTTTCCCTACAGCCTTGGTTAAGAAAAAATATAATTTCTTTCCAGACCAATTTCTTGTTAGGCTTAATATTTATTCCAATTCACTAAACATTTTAATGAATTTCGATCAAGACGTGGTTAAACAAATATTGCATACTACTATTACGTGTGAGTTACAAAAATGTCATACTTATTTGCTTTTAACATATTTATTTACTTAATAGTCTTTTGTAAACATGAGAGCAATTTGGAAAGTTATCTGCATTTCTCTTTGAATAAATACACTAGAAAATAAAACACATTAAAAAAAACCTTATGTGTATAAATTTTTTTTTATTTACACCTAATAGATATCAATATCTGATAGCTGTGCTCTAAAATTGGAAGAAAAAAACAATGGAGCTATGGCCAGTACTAACAGAAGTACTTCACAACAGAAGATACTTTCCAAATTACTCTGATTAATAAGCATAAAAAACAATATTAACTTGAAATATTTTTATTGGAATAACAGCTTCAGCACATGTTATGTAATAAATAGTGAAAATGCTTTAGGAAGCATTCATACTTTTATTAAGATTTACTATGTAAAATAAATTCTAAATAATAATAATAATATTTAATTTATTTTCAAAGAAAAACTACCGCAAACCACTTTAACAAAACAATCTTAAAACAATCTATGAATTTGCATAGTTTACCAATAACAGCTTTGGTAGGAAAGTGCATAAAATTCCCATTGTATCACATGATTCAATAAATTGAAAAAGTTCAAAACAGGTTTACTATTTACAAACCATGATTGAAAAGTTTATTTCATCAGGCTGTAGTAAATGTATTCAGTGTATAGCACATAATGAATGGAATGTTATATCAAGTTTATGGAACAGTGTAACATAAAACAGAAGCGCAAAACAAAACAGGAATTCTGTACATGGACAAGTCTAGACACAATCTTAACTTTCTCAGGAAAACAAATCAATGACACAATTTTCATTCAGGTCACATTTTTTCATATTGAGAGTGTTGAAATGTTAGCAGAAAATTGGGTTATAGACTTTATAATTTTATTATGGTCTAATAGCAAATTTTTCAACACCAGGAAAAAAATGGAGATTTACTTTGAAAAGTCTGAGTAAAATTTTCACTTGAGCTTCTAGCTCTACCTTTATCCCTACCTTGACTTTTTTGAATCAGCACTGCTGGCATTTGGACTAACTGAAGGGGAGATTTTGCATCCTTTAAAGCTTGAGTCAAATTCAAAATCTGACCTCTCATTACAGACATTTGCTTTTCAAATATATTTCTGTCGAATCCTCTGTCTATACTAAACAATTCATAAAGGTCATCACACAACTCTTGAACAAAATTCATATCAGATAACTGGGGTAAAATTAGATCTCTCGTTTCAGATGAAAAAGGAATTCTTGCCATAGGTAACCAAGCCCAATGGAATGGATAAGCCCTCCAAGAGTCTGGATGTTTAAATGGAAAAGCCAAACCATTATCTATGGCAGCTATTTTGATTTCAGGCTTTAGAATTTTGCCACTACCATCTCCTGCTTCATTAACCTTGACATATTTTACAAGCCAATTATCATTTCCTCTATCAGTGTTTCGAATGATGTAATCTAAGACAACTAATCTTTCAAACTGTAAATGGAATTTCTTTTGCGAATCTTCTGGCAGGGCCTCAGAATCAAAAATTCGCAACCAATAATCAGCATTTTGATAACCTTCTACAAACAATTGAAAAGATCCTATTTTAGGAGGCAAGCCAATGCGATTAAAGTGGCAACGATATCGCGGGAACTTTTCAACTATGTTGCGCTTTGTTCTCGATTTAGCTTTGTCGATGGCAGAATAATTGAAAGATTCGCTAACTAGCCGGACAACTTTCGTTTTTGGAACAATATTCAGCTGAAGCTTTTGATCTACCAAGGAAGCTCCAGCTTCAGATAGATAACCTTGATTGGGTACTAAACAACTTCGACCAAAGCAGCAAGGACAACAGATTTTATGCATCCATTTGGTCCATTTAGGATTTAATCTTCCATAAGGTTCTTCATCTTTAGGTTTAAATACTCCAATTTTTACACTGCTTACATTCTTTACAAAATAACTACCACTGGAACCTTGGTATATACGCTCAGGTATAACCCCATGAATAATGGCATGTTCTGCTTCTCGAATCACGGCTGTAAATTCAAGATCTTCAGGAAAAATATTCACACTGCAACATGGTTCAGAATCCATTTTATTTATTAGGGGTTCTCCTTCAAGTGTGCTGTCTGAAGCACTTGATGTATTCAAGGGACATAAAGCTATGTCTGGCAAGCAGTCATTAATTTTTACGGTAATTGGCATGTCTGAAACAAAAGAGAATGTAGCAGATATTTAATAATAATAAAAGGGCACATGAAATCTATTAGACAAGTAATTATAACTTATTATTATCAATAGCATATATATATACAGAAAAATAAAATTTAGAATTGTTCTAAACAATTTTAAACCTTCTTTCCTTTACAAGAGAAAATAGATAAATAGGATTTTCAACATTATCCTCAATCAGAAATTTTTTAATTCTTATGAAAATTTATAAAATTATGAAATTCTAAGGTTTGGATATAAATTAGTTTTTTTTTTAAAGTTACTTTTTTGAAAGACTAGAAATTTGTGAATATCGAGCTACAATCATTAACATAATTTGAGTATTTCATACTTTTTTTTTTAAAACTCATAACAATTTTCTAGTAAAAAAAAAAGGTAAATTATAATATTTTTAAAACCGGTTAAAAAAAAAAAACTTCTACTGTAAAATATAACCTACAGTATTGTACAATCTCACAAGGTCTATCAGCAATCTGTTATCTATGTTTATAACTATGAATTATCATCATAATGAAAATATTTTTAATTAAGGTTACTATCAGGGTTCCCACTCAATTTTTAATAAAAAATTCAAGGACTTTCAAGGACCTAAAATCAAATTTTTCAAGGACCTATTCGGCATTGTTATATGCTAAAGTACATGTCAACCAGATTTTAACCTGCCTAGAAATTGTATATTTTTAAATCATAATGCTTATTTGACAAAAAAAAAAAATATATTTATTAAATTTATCAGCTAATAATACAAACGGTTGATAGTTAGATAGCTGTTTCAAATCATTTTAAAAAATTCCAATTAACAAAAAAAAAAAAACTCCAATTGACATAGGATACTAGCCAACATTTAAAACTAGCATCAGAGAAACGTCATGAAAAATTTAATGAAGTGAATTACAATTAATGAAACTGAATGAATGTATAATGCATATTACATTAGCATGAATTTTTAAATTTAGTGAATATACCTAATTTTCACTAAGTGTAATTTTTAAATCGCATTTATACGAATCTAGATATACTATATGTGAATCAAAATTATAAGAAAGGTGAAGTCTCAAAGATTGCGTAAATCACGTAGCACAGTGTGTNTCTGTACTGTATATATATAACATAATCAATCTACAATATGTTTGTAATAGGGTTTTAGAGTTAAGAAACATTTAAATTGATTTTGCTTTAATAAAAAAGATTTTCAGTACATCCAAATAAATTACTCAAATTTGAAAATAAAGGTTCTTGTTGCTTGAAAATCACATTAATAACAAACTTGTTGGCCAGTCAGTAGTATGATACATTGGTCAGTAATAGGTAATGATAGTTTAAATATCGAATCCAATACATAACATGAAAAGTGGATGAAAGAAGAAAACCACAAAAGTTGAAGAAATATTGGACTGAGTTTTGTAAAGTAATCTTTTGTACTTAAATAATTAAATCAAGTAATTATTTTAGTCATGTTTTACAGTTGGATGTAAAAATTTCTATGGTGTATCAACAGCATGCTATATAATCTTATTTTAAATAGCGATTTGAAATACATACAAAAATTTTCAACACATAATTGCTTGTCTCCTAAGAAATGATAAATTAAGAAATCATAAAAGCGATGCCTCCCTAATTTGATGCATACCACACTATCTCAAATTTGATGAGTATCTTAACAATTTGAATGTTAGAAGAATTAAATTTATAAAAATTATAGGAAAATGTTAAAAATGAGAAATACATTGAGATTCAGAGGCTACTGAACTACCCATTTAAAACATTTGATAGTAATATTATTTTGTAAGAATTTTTGAATAAAGCAATAAGCATGAAGTTGGGAGGGGCTTTTTTTTAAATTTTTTAAAAATCTTATCAGTCTTATTCTATCAATTTTAGCCATGTCTTTCTACTATAATAAGGAAGTAATGGTCTTTCTATATAATAAAAAAGCAAACAAGAGTGTTCAACTAGTTTGCACATGTGAATATCTGTGTGCTGATTTCACAATTTTTTTTTTTAATACAGGCTAATTGGAAGTGGATGAGTAATCCCATTAATGTTTGCTATTTGAATAGAATTTGATCTTTAAATTTAATTTTAAAAAAATATTCAAACCACGTATTCAGTTATCCAAATTATTTTATGATGACTTCATTTCTAGTAAACATTTCCGCTTTTTAATAATCAATCACAATTACAAAGCAAATATCAGTTTATTAAGGTCTGTCTACAAGTGAGCAAAAGAAAAGGAGTTTCTTGGAAGTTGAGAGAAAATAATTGTGTGAGTAGAGGGAAAATTCTCATGAGGAGATGGGGTGAAGTTCTTCGTGAGAGGAGAGATTATTTACAGGCATTTGCTTTCGTCAAGGTTGACAAAATACCTAATTTTTTTTAAATATTCGACAGCCAAATTATGAGATAAAATATATTAACAACATTTAATATTTTTTAAAAATAATATAGCTAAAATAATAAAAATTTCCAACTAAAATGTTTTAAAAATTATTTAATTACAACAAACTAATCCCAGAACTAATAAAATCATGATTCTTTTTGTTTAAGCTAAACACTCTAACATTTTAAAGACAGGGAGGTAATTTGTCAGTTAGGTATCAAATGAAGAGTAAATTATTTTAGATCAGAATGTATTCAAGGAAAATATATATTTTAAATTTCCTTAGGCAGAACAAAACTTTCTTCAATATTGGTTAACAACTTATTTAATGAATTTTAAAAGCATTTAAATGAACATAAAACTAAATGGGTATAATTGAAATATATTTATTGCTAGCAAATTATTTTACACACTGATAAAGGAAAATCATAATTTAACAGTTTAATGTTACTCTTATTCACTTTGCCTCTAGTTTTATTTTTATTAATCTACTTAGAAATATAATAATTTACCCTTTCATCATTTCTTTGTATAAAACCTTCATTATGAATGAAATTAGAGTTCATAAGAATATATTTATAAAAATTATTTTCCATCTAATTTATTTTTAAAAAAATCAATTTGTTTATATCAAAGAGTTTCTTTAAAAAAAATCAAGCGTTTAAAATCAATATCTTAATCATGACTTAAATTATTCCAACCCTGAGTATTGTTATTAAGTTTAACAAGGAACCAAACTCCGTTTTATGTTAATGTGCTAAAATTGACACTAATGATTATAATTTGCAAATACATGAAATAATGATACACTGCTTTGGAAATCTGAAATAAGTTTAAATTTCTAGAGATAAAAAAAAAACAATATTAAGCTAAAAGCATCATTGATTATAATGTTCAACAAACTGATAAGGATAAAACTGATAACATAACGAATTGGCAATTCAGTTGTAGCTCAAGAGCTACAACTGAAAGCTGAGATAGCATTAGAAAGAAAAAGAACGCATTTAACTAAAGAAAAACACCTTTATTTTTAAGAAAACAGAATTTTGCGTAGAAAGTATAAAAATGCATATAATATAAAAATGCGTGTTTCAAGTGCAGTTAAACATTTTTAATAAGCTCAATAAATTAATTTTTAAGAAATTTATGAAAAAACTCTTAGTTAAATTCAAATTAAGCTCTTAAGAAACAAGATGATAGGTTTTTTAACATTAAATAAATCATTTCTTTTATATTTTCTCATTATTCCTGGGATCTCATTAAATCAAGGCTCATAAAAAAGGAATTCAACCATAGATTATGAATTATAAGTCGATATAATTACAAATATTCAATTGAACTTTCAAATTCTAATACTAATAGAAAAACATGTAAAGGGATTATTTTGAAAACAAATATACATTTTCATGTTCAAAAATACATTTACAGTAAACTGTTCATCAATGTAGCCCTTGAATGGCTAATGCAGGTCTTTACTTTTTAGCCAAAAAACAATAGAAAAAAACAACATAGCTCGTGGAAATTTTTAAAGTTTTTTTCAAACTAATATCAATGATTAAAAAAAACACAGTAATTATAGGAAAAAATTTATTTCAATTTTTAAAACTTGAATGCCAAAAGAAATCTCTTACCTTTTTAAAATTAAAACACGTAATTCAAAATTGTTTTTTAACAGGAAATTAATTTTGTCAAAGTCACACTTTTCAGAATATGTGTAGCAAAATGATCACATACAAAAACGTTAGTTTTATCCATTTCAAAAATATTATACATGCATTTTTTAAATGTTCATAATTTGCTATATTTTGCTCTTTAATTTTTACAAAAAACTAACTATGTTTCTTTAAAACAAGATAACTTTTAAAACAACAAAGCATGAAATAATTCTGTTACAGTACAAACTGGACTACCCTAGTTAACTTCAAGGCTAAATAAAATTTCTGACGTGGCCTTCTTACAAAAAAGATTGTACAGCCATACGTACGTATGTATTATATGTTTGAAAGAAAAATATGTTTTATAAACAACTTAGTGGAGTTCCTACTATTTTAAAGCTGATTTTCTCAAATTTAGTTAAACTCTTTCTTCCACTAAGCCTCTAAATTTAAAACTACAGTAGTAAAATAAATAAATGCAATAAAACAGAAATTTAAAGAGTCAACAAAAATATTCAAAAACTAAATGTAAAATTAATAATTTAAAAGCGACTGCTTAGCTTTTATTAGAAAATATTGGTTATTTAAACAGAAAGGAGAAGGAAATACTAACACAGTAAGCATCATGCTGCAAGCATAACAATGACTTCATTTTAAAAGGAATACAAAAGCTTAAGGAACTTTAAAAAATTAACTAAAAATAATTATATACGAAAACAGCCACAATAGAAAAATATTTTTCTCCTTACAAATAGTATCACTCTCAAACTACAAATAGTAAATACTAATAGTATATATATATATCAGGGGTCTGTTTAGAAGAAATTTGGGTCCGTTCACAGACCCTTCACAAAATATCATTTTATAAAAACGGACCCTTCACAAAATTTTTCTTTTAATTGGACTCTTCACAAATTTGTTTATCTTCGTTATTGTTTTGTTAATCGAATAAACCCTTCCCAAGGGGAAAAAATAAAGATGGATATAAACGAATTAAGTTTTGTCTTCGGCAGTCGCTTTTTCCTATATTCGTCCGAAATGAATATTATGCGTTCAGCAGTATAGGCTAAATACCAAATATTTGTATGTTGCACCTCTAATTTAGAACCAGCAATTGTTGCTTAGTTTTGAAAATTTAATTTTTTTTAATTATAGTTTTACAGTGTTGAGCATATTCTTGTATCTATTTACAATTTAAAAACTCTTTGAAAAAGTTTTTTGCAATAACAGGACCCTATTTGCACAAATTCATAAAAGCAGGACCCTGGTTGAAAGAATGTGACTTAACATTTATTTTATATTCGCAAATGACGAGTCATTTTTTCATAATTTTAGAAAAACGGTCCTTTCACAAAATGTCTGGACAGACCCCTGTATATATATTGGTCTTTTCTATTCTTAAGTTGAGTTGTTCACAAATTCATTAAAGCATATTCTTACACTAAGCTTCGTAATTTATCAAAACAATACTATAAATAAAAATGGTGAAAACAGAAATTTGAAATGGCAAGAAAAAACGTAACATTACTAACTTTAAAAAAAAAAAATTGCTCAGGAAAAATACTCATTGAAAAATGATAATAAAAACAGGAAGGGGAAAGTAATAGACTATATTACTAAGCATTATGTTTTAACAATAATAATTGTTAAAGCCTGGATTTTAATGACCTGAAATGTCCTAAAAATAGCAACAACAAAAAAATGTCCTTTTAACGTCAAAAGATTAGTTTATAATTATGCTTCAATTTTAAAATTCATATTTAATACAAGTACATTAAAATACATACCTATTTTATTACGATACACTTTTTTATTTAAATTTGAAATAAATGTTAAATGATAAACAAATCGAAAAATAAATAATGTTAAATGATTATATAGAGAAATAAAGTTTGCAAAAGATATTGATAGTGGCAACATAAAATGCAAAATTATAAGAAAAATTTTAAAAATAAAAATGAGCTAATACAAAAAAAAAAAAAACCTAAAATGTCAGAAAATATCATACACAGAAATTAATTCTTAAAATGTGAAATAATTCCATCAAACGAAAAAAAAGAAACAAAAACCTAAACCTTAAATAATTTCCTAAATAATAAATTAGATAAAAAAAATAGGAAATGTCACTAAAATTCAGGCCTTAATAATTATTTAAAAGCAATACAAAAGCTTGGGTAATGTTAAGAAAATTAAATAAAATAAAGATGAACAATAAATAAGACCAGGAAGAAAGTTATGGCAACATGCATGCATCAGTCATGTTTTTAAAGGGCATACCTGTATTTTCCATTAGAAAAACTGAAAAATTCCTCAAGTAATTGATAAGTGATGAGTAACTTCTGAGAAAGTCTTAAGTCATAATTTTCTAAATATTGCTGTAGAAACCATATCTGCATGAAAACAATTTAAACCTGACTAAAAAGTAGTAATTTAAGAAAAGAAAGAACATTGCAGCGTTGTAACATGATAAAGCAAATTTAATCAGTGGGTATTGAGAATGATAACAGAGATAAAAGTTTTGATTTCTCATTGACTTATAATTATTTTGAACTTCTAAAGATAGACACTGTTAACAAGACTTTGTTAAACAAGGATATTAAAAATAAATGAACTATTTTTGAAACATAGAGATTATGTTATTTTTTGCTGAATAATTCAATAGTTAAAAATATTAGAATTTTTCAATAAAGAATATTTAAAATAATAATGGTGAAAATATTGAGAGCCAATAATTTTAAAATGCTGCTGAATAAATAAAAAAAAGATATTAATTTTTTTTATTATAGATATACTATAGGTATATGTTATAAATAAATTAATATTCAATAAGAAATATTAAGTAAAGAAATTACTACGTAGAACGCAGTGGCATCTAATTTAGATATGACTTTAATCAGAATAACAATAAAAGATTTAATAATAAATAATTTTGACATAACAAACACAAATAATTTCACTACAAATATTATGAATGAAACAGATTTGTTACTTTCTACTCCATTAATTAAACATTTATTAAGAATGATTAATATTAAATTTTATAAAATAGAGAATATTTTAAATAATAATAAAGACAATAAAATATGAACAAATAAATTAGCCAATTACTTTAAATTTCTGTTGTATATGTGCTCAAATAAAAACACTTCAAATCAAAATACTAAAATTTCTCAATTCATCTTCTGTTATGTTATGAGATAATCAACATTAAACCTTTTTAATGGATAATACATCAAATAATTATAGTTAATGCATTAAAAATAATAATGGGTAAAACATTGTGGACCAGTTACTTTGAAATTAAGTAAAATGAAGAAAAAAAAGTCAAAATCCAAATACTAATATATCTATGTTAATAAACTGTATATATACTCTGTAACTGTAAAAGTTATGTTCCATGATTAATAAATTGTGTTGTATGATTAATAAATTATGTCAGTTTAAAATTGTTAAATAAATTAAAATTTAAGTAGAAGTATTGGTACAATTGAAACTGCTTTGGCATTTATAATTTGTGTAACTATTGGAAAGATAATTACTTTTAAAATCACAGATGGAGGGATAAAGAATGATGCAATTTATTAAAGCAGAATATCCTAAAATAATAATTTGTTCAACTGATTAAGTTTAAAGTAATTAAAATTTTTATTTTTGCAAACAATTATTTCTTTTTCAATTAGTTAACTTAATTATGGTTAACCTAAGTATGCTTCAGATTTTAAAGTTTGTGTAATGCTCGAAATAACCTATAAGTTTGACAGTTGTGTTATTTATAAAATAACCAAAAAGATGCATTGAATAAATGTAGCTTTAAGTCAATAAAAAAATATTATTATTTCCTTTTTTGTTGCAAAATATGTAACAAGAAATACTGATAAATCATATCAGTTATGATAAGAAGTAAGAATTCACCAACTACGTACATAGAAGTGTGTTTTACATTTTTTTCCTGTCTAGAATATTATTATTGACAACTGTTCACTATATTGAAACAGCTATAATATTCATAATTAAATCGATTAAACTTAACTTCCGGAACAAGATAACTAGCATATGACATATGACGATGACGACTCTTTCAACACCACAGATGTTTACAATTTTTAATGAATTGGAGTTGAAGTACTAGTGATATTTTTACTAACTCATGATTTTAAAACAAATGAACATAATATTAACTGTGACTGTGAATTAGAATGCCTGCAATCACAGCAAAATTTTGATTAGTCAAATAAAAACACGTGATCAGAATAAATGCTAAAGGGCTTTTCTCACTGTATGTGATTGAAGGGCCATTCTCATTGGATACAATTTTTTTCCACATGACAGCGAGATTCTGATTTGGTAGTTTTACATAGGATTTTCAATTAATCATAGTTCTCATTCACTTGTGATGAAATCACATGCTATTAATATTTTGTACTATTTTCCATGCTATTGGAACTTTATCCCATGCTGCTGGGACCATATTTTCCAGATTGCGGCTACCTCCAATAATTTAAGGGTCAAAAATACAAATCACAGGGAAAAGAAGATATGTTTATTCAAAGAAAGTAAAGTTTGTCTATAGCAAGAACTCCCTTGTCCCAAAGTCTACTGTAGTCTGGTCTCCCCTGATTCGCTTTCTTTTGGGGCTGGATCTTCGACTCCACCAAGACCCATTGAGTACATGTGATATACGTGTTTGCAAAATCTGTGGAATTTAAAGTCCTGCGGTCTGTCGCTGAGCAGTGTCATAGATGCAGGGATCTAGGGAAAATTCTGCTGTCCCATAGCGTGGGGTTTTAGGAAATAACACTCTTATATCTAACAAGCACTATTTATTATTTAATTACAACATTTAGAATTTAGAATACAAAAGATGCGTCTTAACGCAACGCTAACAGATGAGGAAAACAAACTGAAACTTTTAGAGGGAAAGTCCCAATTCGATTGCGTAGGCGTGATAGTTCGTAAACATAGCCTCGAACGGCTAAATACACGACATCTCCTCCCCCTTTAAAAATGGAGATTTAAAGGTCAAGTCTCTTAGGGGGCCGTCTAATCCTTTGTGATCGCCTCGGCTGAAATGGAGTTTGTTGAGAAGTTGAAGATGGAGTACTTCTCGGCAAAACAGCTGAACTCGGGTTCTTAGTTGGAGATGGTTGGCGAGTTTCTGGTGTTGATTTGACAGATCCAGAGTGTTTTTGGATATCTCCGCCAGGATCAGTGGGTGCAGGAGAATTATCCGCGGTGCCCATGTGTGGAGTTTCACTGCTGAAACTAATTCGTGGAACGTGAATAGTCTTATCCAAGATCTGGTCTCCTGTTGGTCGCATTTGGTCTACGTGGCGTCTATACAATGTACCTTGTACATTAACTGTGTAGTGAAGAGCTCCATCTTTGCTCATGACAGTTCCAAATTTCCACCTTNCAGCATAGTGTTCAGCAGTTCTTGTTTATAATTGCATGGCATTGCCAATGAACGAAGTTCTGCTAAATAAGCATTAATACTTTCTCCCTCGTGTTGTTTACGATTAAGGAAAATATGTCTGCTAGGAATAATTAATGGTTTTGGGTGAAGATGATCTTTAAGAGTGTTTTTTAAGGTTTCAAAATCAGCTTCAGCTGGATTGTTGGGAGCCAACAAATTTTTTAACAAATTATACAATTTTGCTGATAAGCTGGAAATTAATGTTTTTGCTCGTTTTTCATTTGGAACATTTTGTATGTCCAAAAAAGCCTCAAACCGCTCCAAAAAAGATTCAAATGTCTCTTGGGAATCATCGAATTTCTCGAAATTCACACCAGTAACGTTACTTTTGTTTCTGGTTTCGTCTTTCGGCTGCAGCGCCGACATTAACAATTTATTTTGTTCAACTAATTGAGAGATGAGGTCCTCCATTTGGAAAAAGAAATAAATTGTCCTACCTGGAGCAGTCTTCAAGAGCAAAAATATTACCTATCTTCAGGTACTTGAAACCTTAATCCAAATTAGTTTCACTTTGAAACGTAACTTTTTCAAGCGATGATTTTTTGTATTATTGGAAAATAAAATTCACCAACTCGTCGCCAGTGTGCTGTCCCATAGCGTGGGGTTTTAGGAAATAACACTCTTATATCTAACAAGCACTATTTATTAATTAATTACAACATTTAGAATTTAGAATACAAAAGATGCGTCTTAACGCAACGCTAACAGATGAGGAAAACAAACTGAAACTTTTTGAGGGAAAGTCCCAATTCGATTGCGTAGGCGTGATAGTTCGTAAACATAGCCTCGAACGGCTAAATACACGACATCTTTCCCCTTCAGATCTACTTCTAAATTGTGTAAGTGGTCTCACAAATTGTGATGTCATGTGTTTTGATCATCCTCAGGGATGTTTACCAAACTGTAATAAAACTAATAATTACTGCAAATAAACTGTAATAAAATAAAGTACCTACCTACTTCTCTTACTGACTCAAGCAAAAGCCTTTTTAAAGACCATTCTCCGTGCATGCAGTTCACACATTTCCGATCTCCATCAAGGGAAATGAGAAGCTGATTGGCGAAAAAAAATTTTTCAACGAGAACTCACTAATCAGGTTTTCCATTTTCCTCGACAGCTATCGAAAGTGCGAGAAACAATTTGCCGTTTAAATATTGTCTTTGAGTTAAGGCAGGTAGTTAGGTTAGTACTTTATTTACGTCGCACTAGAACTGCACAATGGGCTATTGGCGACAGTCTGGGAAACATCTCTGAAGATGATCTGAAGTCATACCATCACAATTTTGTGAAGACACTTTCTCAATTTTGACATAGATCTGAAGGGGAAGAAAATTTTCCCTAGATTCCTTTACCCATGGTACAGCTCAGAAGCCGGCTACGGGAGTTTCGATTGTTCCAAACTGTTCTTTCCATGGAGAAGCTTCACGTTTGTGCGTCGGCTTTCGTAAATTTAAATATCATCTGCTCTAATTAATGTTGCCCCCTTGATCAAGTTTTTTTCTTAAATTTTCTAAAATTGAGATCTAGACATGTATGTGTGTTTTCAAACAAATTATCCCACTTATTTTGAAATGAAGAAACCGATTATAAAAGAATTTTACGTTTCAAGAAAACATAAAAATATATTTTTGAAAAATAGCAATGAGTCCCATTTATGCATTTAGACACATTAATAACTTGCATTTTTTGAACTAACAAGTTTTTACTTTATTTACTTATTTTCAAAAATTATTATAATTATTTCCTGGCATATTTGGGTGTTTCAAACAAACTTATACATACTCTTTTGATAGTGAAACCAGTTATAAATGAACAGTTCACTCCAATAAAGTATTAAAAATTCTCAATTTTATTTTTTAATTTTCTGTAAATTTTTCTTGACGACGCTTATGTCAAACAAATTGACAATCACTTTTAATTATGAAACCAGTTCGAAAGGAATTTTTACTGCGAAAAATACCAAGAAATTCGAAAACTGATCGCGCTTTAGTTAGTAATGTAACTGCTATTTTAGCGCGTGTTTCATCAAATAAGTTCTCTTTTCCCATTTTTTAAAAAAAATTCTTTATTTCGATTTTAAGACATATATGGCTGTTTTTCAATCGAATTGCTACTCACTTCTAACTATTAATCCAGCTTCAAATCAAATTCACGTGGCAAAAAATTGAATGAAAAAGAAAAGATTTGCAAAAAATCCATCCTTGAGTTAGTAATATATGTGTCACGGGCAATGTAAATAATTGGGCATTGTTTATAATGCCCGGGCAATTTAAAAAGTGCCCAAAAGGATATGACAAAATGATAAATTATGTTGCAATTATTACATTGCCCGGTCATTATGTATAATGCTAAAAGTCAAGTGGGCAATTTGTGCGACACACAGCCACAGGGTGTCTTGGGATATTCATCCACTTTTAGATGCACCTGGATAATTTTTTTTTAAAATTTTTCCCGCACATGCGCTGTATAAAGCAACTACTTCAATTACTCTTATCTGGCGCAGTAATTATTATTATTTTTTTAATTTTAAAGCTATAATTTCGGTATCAGTTTAAAATTGATTCAAACGCTTTGTTTAATTTTTTTTTAAATATTTAAGCTATAGCAAAAGTGGCACTAGACCTAGTATATATTTCGGACATTTACCAAAGGTCTAGTCATACTAGGTCTGGTTAAGTGCCATTGCCCGGTATACATTTGCCCGGTATATCCTACACTGNCCTGTTTCTTCGGCATTAACGGTCATGTGGCAACAGTGGCGTTAGAGCAACGCAGGACGGTCAATTCTGAATGGTACACGACCATTTGTTTGCCAGATGTCATGGGAGAAATTCGAAAAAAGCAGAAGAACAGGCGAATCATTCTTCATCATGACAATGCGAGCTCTCACACATCGACTCATACAAAGTCATTTCTGACGGAGCGAAAGATTGAACTGATGGGTCATCTGCCGTACAGCCCTGATTTGTCACCCAATAACTTCTTCTTATTCCCACACATCAAAAATAAATTACGTGGACAACGATTTTCGACCCCCGAAAAAGCGGTTGATGCATTCAAAACGCATGTTTTGGAGTTACCTCAATCGGACTGGAGAAAGTGTTTTGAAAATTGGTTCAAACGCATGCAAAAGTGTATTGATCATCACGGAGAATATTTTGAAAAACAATAAAACCAATTTCGATCTAACATATTTGTTTTTTCATTATTAGGCCAGAAATATAAATAGCAACCCTCAAAGTAAGCTGAATGGCGATGTCACGTTAAAATCAAAGTAACTGACTAAACAAGTTCTTCTTTAAAAAAAAAATGTTTTTCCTTGATTATTTCTGCATACACATGGCTATTTCCAAACAATTTGATGACTACTTATATTTTGAAAACAAATTTCGAATAAATTTTGCAATGCAAATAAATTGTAAGAAATTTGAAAAGCTCCACATTTATGTTAGTGGTATACATACTTGGAATTCAACGTATTTTGAACAAAAACAATGTTTTTTATTTTTATTTTTCTGTAAATATTTCTTGACAATTATGAATGTTCCCAAACAAATTGATGCTCACTTTCAATTTAATAGACCAGTTTCAAACGAAGTTCACATCCTAAAATAGTATAAAAACTTTGCAGAGCGTTTACCATCCTGGTT